GTCAACATATGCTCCATATTAGATGGTACATTCTTTGTCACTGTGCATATTGCAAGACTATAAGACCATAATGTACGGAGGAATGAGATGATGGTTCCTTTTAATTTGATGCAAACGTGATTTTACCATAAAAATGCTAAGACTATTGTCCACTTTGACTACAACAGTCAGGATACAGACAGAAATAGAAATATTGAGTTTGAGATAGAACAACAAACCTAACAATTTTAAATGACCAAATTCACAGGTAACATGTAGAATATCACAGAGAGGACTTCTAATATAATGCAGTTGATCAGACAACATTCTTAAAACATAGTAGTCACACTTACTGAAAGAAATCCCACCAGATGTAGATTGGACTTCTCTTGATAAGGGCTGAATTCCAGATTTTCCAGAATTTCTGCTTTGTCAGGTTGCCTCTTTGGTGTTTGTCTAATTTCTCGCCTTCCTTGTTTTCACGTGTGCAGCGACCAGAGGAACAGCTTCCATCGTGTCCGAAGTGATGATGTACGTGTCCATCATTGGCCTGCAGGTCTGGCTCCTCATAGAGATGATATACTGCTACAGGAAAATAGCAGCAGCTGGGGAAGAAGCATTACGAGAAGCAGCGTAAGTGTTTTTATCACGTACAACTGTATGTGCAGTATGTACATACATGAAAACCTTGTAACTCCAGTTTTGGTTTTTAGTTTGATTGAAAGGACAACACTGCATAAGAAAATTCTGTCTTTGACTAATGCAAACCTTTCAACAACTTTAGCCAAAAATGTTTGGTCAAACTAAAAACGGCTGCATTTCCCAGCTCTTCAAAAGGAGATGCTTTGGAGATACAAGGTTTATATCCAATATCAGGTGTGTGTTGTAGAGCCCACAACTGCTGGATTTTTAAGGCAAATACGTGCTTAGATTTTTGAGAGTGTAAAAAAAAAATCCAGTAACGATATATCAGCCATTATTAGTTTTTAACATGAACACATGACATAAGCAACCATTTTTCCTTCCTTAAATTTGGTAACTAAAATTACACATTACAATTTTGTGTAACTTACTGGCCAGCACATACGCAAGTACTGATATATCGGTCAGGCTCTATGCTTGTAAAGCTTGAGCACACAATTCATTAACTCGTAAGACCCAGTTACACAAGCATTCAAAGCCAATAAGTGTCCAGTGGAATCATAGTTATTGTTGTACTCCAACTCTTAGACATTTGGTGTGAAAATGATGCTTTGAAAAGTGTGCATTTCCCCATGAATGCTGCCTTATTTTCTTCATACTCTATCGCTGAAGTCAAGTCTACAATTTAAACTTTTACTTTGTTACATCCTCTCTTTGGTTCGTATTTCTCTCTTGCACTGTTCTCTAACCTACTTATTTTTAAGATTATCAGTGTTTCCATTGTGTTTGTGTGTGTGTTTTCACCTGTGTCTCTTTGTCTCATGCTCCCTCCGTCTACTTGTCATGTTTTCGTCTTGTCATCCTCCTCCCTAGTAAAAACCAAACCCTCCCTCCTGTAAGTCAAAAAAGAACAAAAACCTGTCACACAACCAAAGCTGTGATGTTTTGTTTTTGCATTTTTCACCCATTTTTTCATTGTTCTAAAGTAAAAAAGTTTAACATTGTTTTATGACATTGTTTTTTCTTTCTCCTTCTAGAAATGCTGAATATTTAGCTATAGCCTCGGAAAGTAAAGATAACTGTGCAGGGGTGCAGGTCGGAGAATAGCACAGGTATGTTTGTGATGTGAGCAGCATCATTCCCACTTGTTATCAGTCCTGTCTGGGGCTGGGTATTGAAAATTCTACATTTGTTTGGTCCCCTCTAAGCTGTGTACATATCAACCATTTCAAACTTGACAACACAAACAATCTAAATGGGTCCAATTTCCTGTTGAAATGTTTTACAGTGTATAGAGACAGAGCGCATTTGAGCCCCGCCCCCACCAGAGGAGAAAGCAATTCATTGCTGTCCATTGACTTTGTATTGTGTGAAGGTGCCTCCTTGTCATTTAAGTAAATTAGCAAACAACAGAAAAATGCCTGAATGCTGCTGTGTGGTGGGATGCACTGCTAACGTGATAAAAAGCTTAGACTTAAGTTTTAATAAGCTGCTAACCCGAAAAAACGGCTTTTAGGCAATAAGACGTGAGGAATCAGCTGGAAGATAAGGAAAATCTATGCATTCAGTGTGCCCAGTTTTACATGTGCAGCAAGCATTAGGCCTATGCTATTTTGGCCAGACAGACTGTAGAAATAAGAGCTAACTAAGCTATGCAAAGCCTGGTTTTGATCATCAGTTAAATAACACTGAGATCAAATGAGAATATTTAGTTTGTCAATACACCTTTTCCTCTCTGGTGAACATAGGGTGCTAATATCATAGATACAGAAACATATATACCTATTTGTATTTGTCTATATAGATACGTATATACATCAATTAACCAAAACATTAAAACCACTGGTGGGTGAAGTGATTAACACTGATCATCTTGTTACAGTGCAATGTTCTGCTGGGAAACCTTGGGTCTTGGCATTCATGTAGATGCTACTTGACGTGCTCCACCCACCTCAACACCATAGCAGACACAAGTGCTAAATGGTTAACGACAACCTACATTCATTTTAAACAACAACACTTGTCAATGGCAGTGCCCCCCCAGCAGGACAGTGCATCGTGCCATACCACAAAAACTGCTCAGGAATGACCTGAGGAATGTGACAGAAAGCTCAAGGCGTCTACCTGGCCTCTAAATACCCCAGATCCCACTCTGATCAAACATTTGAGGGACGCGCTGGTACTCCAGAGGTATCCTAGATCTGTGGTGAGTCCTCCTTGGACCAGACTTGGCTCTGACCTGTCAAGGCATGGACACTGGACCTCTGGAGGGTGTCCTTTGGTGTCTGGCGTCAGGGCGCTACCATCAGATCTTTTGAGTCCTATGGGTTGTGAGGTAGGGTACCAGAATGTCCCAGGGGGGCCATAGCTACTGGGGAGTGCTGTTGCCATAATGGGGGGTGCCTGGTCTGCACTGGTGTGGCATCCACACAAATGTCCAAACCCCAGATTTCCCAACAGAATGTTGCATTGTAACAAGATGATCAGTGTTGTTCACTTCACCTGTCAGTGGTTTTAATGTTTTGGCTGATCGGTGTATATACCTACGTATATTTGTCTACATGCATACGTATATATATCTATGGCTAATACAATCCTTTGACTTGCTGAAATCTACTGTGTGTAGCTAGCTTTTGTTGGTGTTTCAGCTCTTGGCTGCATAGCAGGCAGGTGTGGTTTTCAGAGAGTGATGCATTGCGCTCTGTCTCTATGTGAATGACATCAGCTGTAAAGATGGACCTAAGCTGTTGCCTGGCAATGCAATTCCATTGAAAACCATCAAGGACCAAAAGCTGGCATTGACTACTCGCTCACATTCATCCACTCATTCTTTGATCAGTTCAAGTTGTTGAACATTTCTTTTGGAAAATAAGCTTATTTGTTTTCTTGCAGAGAGGTAGATAAGATAAATGTGAAATTTCTACACCTCAGTTTGTACGAGATATAATAAGTTAGCTTCAGCTGTTCCATCTGTTTTCAACCTTTGTGCTAAGCTAGCAGGCTGCTGGCTACAGCTTTACATTTACCGTCTAGACAAGGTAAGTCCCAACAATGTCAGCGTATTCTTCTGACTACTCCAAACCTGGTGTAGTCAGAAAGCTTGAGACTTCCTGGTTAGATTGTACATTAAATTAAATGATGAATAAATTTAGGCAACGTTATTGTGCTGCTGCTTATGTTCAGGCAGCGTTTTCCTTTAAGAAGTTTGGCCTCCTGTGTTAAATGAAAAAAGGGTGTTGTATAAATCTAAAAGACATCAAAAGAATCTCAGTATGACACGTAATTTTCAGTACCAAAACTCTTGTACCTGATCTCAAATATATACCCAGCCCTAATTCTATCAATTTACTGAGCAGCTGCCATATGTCAAATTGCTGTTTTTTAGGCACAGCTTCCTCAAACTAATGTATCACACATCTGCCCTGGTGGTTTTCATGTACAGATTTTTGTTGAAACTATTTTTGAAGCCATTTAGTTTCTAATATTTACCCCATGCCATTACCATACAGTGTATCAATGAGGGCAGACTAAATATTTGAACCATATAACACTGTTTTATACAGTTTCAACAAAAACTGAACATCATAACCTTCTTTTGCCACTTAGTTCTTACATTAGCTTTGGTTAAGTGGACCTCTGTCAACTTAGTGTGTATTTTAGAGGGTTCCAGTGTTTATTAATGAACTGGATTTTCTATAAACACAGAGGTTTTGAATCAGTGCCATTTAATCCATTAACACGTATTGTTTTTATCTTCAGGTTTCCTCCGTGGACAGAAAACATCCTTCCACCCTCTGACCTGCATGTAGACAACTTGGAGGAAAAACCCCTCTTCATCTCGAGCCTCCATTTTACCTTTTCCTTGGCAAATATCCCACATGGATATGACATACAAAGAGAGCATGGTACCAGCACTGTATATAATATCCTGCGCTGCAAAAGCATGTCCTGCACTTATTTGACGAACCATTATGCATTAATGAGCCACATTGTCCAGAGCATATACTGTACATGCAGTATTTCTTTAAGTATATGTAGTCACACATTTATATAAAAGGGAAGTGGTACTATGGGCACCATGAGGCTGATTGTAAAAGAAAGCTTTTTACTAAATCATCACCACCCAATGTATGAATAATGCAACACACGTGTATGGTAATTTCTAAAAATAGAATGTGATGGACTATGATAGACTGTCTTTCAAATTGCTAGTTGAACATTCAATGAAATCTTAAGGTGTACTAATAAAAAGTGAAAAAGCACATGATGGAGATGAAGTCTTCTGTTGATGCATGTCACAGAAATGTTGTTGATTCATCTGATGACTGTTTCAGAGCTGAAACAGATGCCTGTTGTTACAGAAATAATAACAATGCAGACAACAGTCGATCTTTTTTTTATTATTATTTTCATGTAGCTGAAGCAACCACCACCTTAAAGCTTTGTGCTTCAACATGAAAACAAAATTGTCCAGAGAGCTAATAATTATAACACCTTATTGGATGAACAGCCACCACCATCCACTCGATGGGAACCAATGACATTCCCAGATTAAAAGGAATAGTTCAACCTTTAGGGAAAAAACACTGATTTTATTTCTCTGTAAAGGTTAGGGCCCTGACACACCAAGCCGTCAGTCACCCACTGGTGAATGCTGGGCCATCAATGACAATCTGTCAAACTAGTTTTTGTGACGTGTTGGCCCTTTTTGGTCAATTCAGCATGTTGAATCTGCGTGGGAGCCAGCAAAGCTCGTCAGTGAATGAAATGACTCTGATTGGCAGTTCAGCTCAGGGCAAACATACGGCTTAGGTCAAGAGGGCGTTAGATCGAAAAAAAAAACTTGTTACATTAGGTGAGACTCATTTTTTAGCCGTTGAGCTCTTTAGCAGAAACTGTATGGAGAGATGTTTCCTCTCACACAGGCACAGAACATCAGTGCTAGTTGGTCGTTGGCTGTCGTCTTTGCAATGTGTTCAGGTGCAACTTTTTGGTTGAGACACAGGCAGTGTGAGATGATGCAACAGTCAGCCTTAGTCACCACTAGTTCTTTGATGTTGGTTTGGTGTATCTAGGCCTTTAGATTTGAGGGCTGAAACCTCTCTCAAGTCTGTGTGTTAAGTACAGTCGGAGTCAGGACATCAAAATTCTTACAGCACATAACATCCTGTACAACTACAAACTGTCAATTTCACATTCCTGTCTTTATGTCGGAAATGGAGGCTTCTTTTTCCCGGGAGATCGTATCTGGTGGCAGCAAGGCTTATGGGAAACCAATCTAAGCACAGATCGTGTCATTATTCTATAGCTCTTACAGTGTGCAATAAAAATTTAGTTAAAGCAAGAAAACTGTCTAGATTGAGATTTAGAAGTGCCAGGCTAGCTGTTTCCTTTGTTTCCAGTCCTTATGCTAAGCTAGGCTATTACCTCCAGACTCCAGCTCTGTAATTATGACACAAACATAAATTAATCTTAATCATCTGACTCTTGGAAAAAAGTGGGTGAGAATTATTTCCCAAAATGTCTAACTATTCCTTTAAAGAGGACACCCATCCTCTCATCAAACCTTCAGTACATCCTCTACAGTTGTAACACGCAGTCTGTGCCAGGATACTGAGGCAGGTTCAGCTGGTACTTCCTCTCTAGACCCGGTGGCACAAACCGGCCTCCCAGGAAGTGGTATCGTCCTCTGAACAAGGAGGCAGACTTCTTAGGAGCGGTGAGAGAGATGAGCATGTCGGGCTGCAGTCCATCTGCACTGCCCTGCTCCACGTCCCAACCTTTGACAAAAACAAAAACAAACAGGATGTCACGATCCACAACAGGCTTCTTCTTCTTCTTATGACTAAATATTCTCAGCTGTAGAAGTGACAATCAGGTCATTAGTTTTGAAGATATCTTGGTGCAGAAGGATTGGTCTTATGTTAGCACTACAGGAAAAGTCAAAGGGTCACCAAAATCGATGGGACTCTTCCATTTGGGAGCATGAACAGCCAATTACATGCAAGTCCAGTGATTGATTTTCAAGAAATTCTATGCTGGTCACACACAGATGAATAGAAGCAATCATATAAAGTCAAACCCCCTCCACCACAGCTAACTGTGACTGTTGAACGATTCTACTCACCGAATAGCTGATACATTTGGATAAAAAAAGACCATATTGAACATTTGATATCTTAGGCATCAGGATTTTTAAACTATCAAGACTTCTTAGCAATAGGCGATTAAAAGGGGACGATGCCATCCCCTTATTTGCAAAATGAAAGTGGACCCAGACGCCTTCCTATCTGGATCCAGACCTATAACTAATAAATGATTGAGAGTTATCAAATTTGATGACTGGAGTGTGTGAGAGACACACACGGTAGAGAACAGATGAGGGACAAAAGTCAGAGAAATGCATGAGTCCAGAACAGTGTATCCGTATCGGTACTCAAACCTTTAAGGTATCGACTGAAATAACCCAGTACCAAGTAGCATCAAACTTTTCCAGACAAACGATACTTGCATTCAAGCCTTCTTGTACCCACATCTAGGAAAACATTAGTATTTGTATGGTTTTCTTGCAGCCAATCACAGCAAGCGTTGTTTGATTTAATGTGACGTGTGACTAACCCACTACTGCAGCAACCTATACTGTCTGTAATGGGCTGAAGTCGAGCGCTGTGCTTTTGATGGAGTTGGTAGTTCAGCCTGCAGAGATGCCAACGAAATATCTGAAAATACGTCTATACTCCACACCAGAGTCCTGTACAGTCTGATTTTTAAGATCTGCTCCCAAACCGGAATTGCAATGTGCGATACCGCACCCGCCCCGCCACCCACACATATGACCAATAACCTTCCAACACAAGATCTGCAGTCCCACCCAATACTAAACTAAGCACAAAAAGTAAGGAAATCTGTGTTTGGTGGATTATTTCTTTGTTGTAACAATGCTTCTTGGCAATAAGTCATATACCGTTGGAGAGCCTGTTTACTTCCCTTTTAAATGGTGCCATATTTGTAAGGAACATGCATTTGTGGGATGAGCAGCAGAGCTGAGTTTGTGGGATGAGCAGCAGAGCTGAGTATGTGGGTTGCGCCCATGAAAGATTTGCCAAATCTTGGCATTTTACATAACTAAATGCTCCCATTCATATAATGGGTAAGATTAAAATTCACCAACACGGTAACAAGTGCATTTTTATTTAGTGGAAATCCAAATTCCTCTCCTTGGAGAGTGCTGAGTGTGTGAAGGCTGACCTGAGGGGATGTCGATGCTGGCTACGGGGGCTGTCGTCTTCTTCAGCACATCTAGGATGGAACCAAAAGGCTCTCGCACAGCCCCCTTAAAGCTGAAGCCGAAGATGGCATCTATCACCAGGTTGTAAGCCTCATCAATCACTCCAGCCTGGGAAATCAATATTTTACAGAAACATTGTTGTTGGTTTTTTTACATTGCCTTTAAAGAGCAACAAACATCAACATTTCACTGGCACAAACTACATGTGTATAACCTGAAAGCATCAGTAAATGACTCTGCATCATTAGTTATCAAGTATATTATTGACTATTGTCTGCTGCAATAAAAACTCTGACCCAAATCCTCCCACAGGGATAATTTAGGCTCCATCTACTCTGAACTGCAGCCTCATTAATTGAGATCTAATCATGTGTGATACAATACTTGCAGAGCTTGAAATGAAATGCACATCCATAGACACAACATGCAGATGCATTTTCTTCACCACTGTGGATCACAATGCTGCATAATTGATTAACGCCAAACCTCAGGCATCTCAGTCAAGAAAGGGATCTCCATTTTCTGGCACTGTGTGGTCAGGCCCTGGAACAGAGGCTTGTTTGGCCTCTTCGGATACAGGATGGTGGGCTCGTAACCCTGCAACAGCACACAGAGTGACAGAAGACATTCTTCATAGTTTGAAATTTTAAAGCCACAAGTTTGAGCGAGCAAAGTTAACCTCTCCTAAGCACAGATGGCTTTAATAAAAGTGAAAGAATGCCTTCAGACTGATTCAAAGCTGCCACTGAGGATTCATTTAGCAAACACTGCCCTTAAATGGCCTTCTGTTCTGCAACTTAACTGCCTGAAGTCAGAACCTTGCCAAATACACAAATGTTGTGCAGCAGGGGTGGAACAAGTATCCTGTAGGATCCTGTCCTTCAGTAAAAGTAGTAATATCTCATTGTAAAAAAAAAGATAGAAGTCCTGCATTTAAAGTCCTGAAACTAAAGAAAATAATACCTATCATGACATTTTTGTAGCTGGTTGTTATAGCTGACAACTTCATACAGCGTTGGGCAGTTTAATAAGCAAAAACCTCAACCTGTAATACAACCTCCTCTGTTCTTTGTTGTAGTAGATGGTCTGGCTGTATGTGCATATTAGTGAATGTGAGTCCCCGTGTGCGTATCCCACTGGCTAGCTAATTGACGCCGCTCTACACTGGGCTCACATGGCGTTTACCAATGATAACGCAGCAGAAACGTAGCACCCACCCTCTGGTATTCGCCAGGTTAACACAGTTAGCTCTGTCAGCACCGTTGCCATTGTTAGCATTGTTAAGTTAGCACCATTAGCTGCTAGCCACCAGCTCAGACACCTCCATGTTGAGAGTCGTGTACAGACAATCTCGGCTCAGACTGTGAATCACAGATACTGTATGCTTTGAATGTTGCAGACAGCTCCTTCAATAAGTACCTCTGAATTTTATTTTTACATATTTAAAATCTTTTTTAAGATGACTGCATTGTTTATAATGAATTGCAAGGTTTTTACTGTAAAAGATGTCTGACTGATGCAAAATTTCAATAATAATAAAATAATAAAAATTAAAATTAACTAAATTATTATTAACAATGCAAGTTTTAAAAACTAATCATATGTGTTGTATGAAAAACCATTTGCAGAGTAACTAGTAGCTATAACTATTAAATAACTGCAGTGGAGTAGAAGTAAAATTGTACCATGAAATAGCAATACTCAAGTAAGTCCAAATAACCCAATATTGTATTACAGTGTAAGTACTAGGGTTGGGTACCGTTCATAATTGAACCGATACGGTACCGGTATCTGGAATTCGGTACTGGTACCAAACGGTACCTTATTTCAGTACTTTTTAACCCTATGGGCCCTTGGTCTTTTTGGGGTATTTTTACTACCTTTACTTTTAAGCTCATATCACAGTCATTATAAAGGCTACATACACATTCTATATCTTGTTTTTTTCAGGACAATCTGGGCTAACCAGATTTGCCATCATTTAATGTCCTTCTATGTGCCTGTATTTTATATTAATTTTTATATCAATGAAAAAAACTATTCTGTGTTACTAAATTCTTACATTTTTACATGTATCTCAGCATAGCAAGTTGGAAGTTGACATATTCTGCCATATATGAAGAGGGGAGACTCTCTGGAATCTGGCAATATAAGAACCATGATGCTGGGACATTCTGTCACTTCACAGCTGTCCAAAACATGTGGTTTGTGCCAGGCGGACATGATTGCCAGTATTTTTCATTATTGCAAGAAATTCCATTGACTCATTCACAAGTCAAAAATCTGTTTTATCTGAAATAAACATGCAATATTTACATCTAAGATAATAGAAAAATAGTAAACCAAGTGCAATGATGTCCTCCAAGATAATATTTGTTTTTCAGTTTTAGTTATATATTGGGGGGACATTTTGGGCATTGGTGTGGGGGACACGTGTCCCCCTCAATGTATATGGTGACTATGGCCCTGTCAGCATGCATAATTAGGCTGCAGTTGTCTGGGTACGCAAAGGTGAAGTGTGCTGGTCTTGTCATACAAAGTTTGATGGAGTGTCAACTGGACAATATGGAGATATTTGCATCTTGAAAGCCGGACTACAAATGTGGATAGACAGGGAGAAACACACGCAAGCCTAAGACATGTTAAGACACGATATTCCTCACTATATGAAGTGACTGATAACAAGATCTGTATAATTGATTGTAAAGAAATTTGTCAGGTTTTTATTTTGTAGACAATTGATCTGGATTTATAGCGTGATGGGATGACAGCACAATGATGTGTGTGGTCCTGCGCTTTCATGTGATATGCATGGCATTTCTGTGTAAGCCTGCGTTCGCAAGTAATCCATCCAACAGTAATGTGTGTGCAAAACTGTATGAAAGCTCTGTTATACATCATTTTATTGTAACTTTATCATTTTTTGTCGCTGTGAAAACATTGGATTACCGACAAGCGGCCTTGTCGGAAAGCTACAGTTCCGCTGCGTGGCTTCTCGCTATGACGCACGGTCGCGGAAAAAATCCACAGAGAAGAAAGGGTGTGAATTTGGATGCACTATGTGTCGTTTGGGCCCATAGTCTAAACTTCTCAGTTTCAACATTTTATTGAGAACATTTAGGAACAGTGCTGCACGTTAACTTTTGTCTGCACATTTTTTTGTCACCATTGTTGCTGAGTCTGAGGTGCGAGTCATGCACTCTCGCTCCGCCTCCACCTCAAGTACCGAAATTTGGCACCGATTCATTTTAAGTCAATCGGTACTCAGTAGTACCGACGTGAATCAGTACCAAGTACAAAAAGTACCGAGTTTCGGTACCCAACCCTAGTAAGTACAGTGTTTGAGGATGTGTATATTCTTAGTTACGGTGCGCCACTGCTGCAGAGAGATCTGACAGTCACCAAAGTAAAGGCCACTCACAAAGAGTTTAAGATGTCGGGCACAGACCAGGCCGTCGCCTCCGTTGTTACCTGGTCCACAAATCACCAGCAGAGAAGGTCTGGCCTTCACCAGGGAAGTAATAGGATACGCCTGCAGGAAAAAACAGACAGAAAAAACTCTATACAGCACCACACCACTACTGGTATATGACAAGGAAAAGAGGCTTTTCTTTCCATGCTTCTAGTGATTTAGAGTCAGAAGATGAAGAAAGTAATCAGATTATTCCCCTCTTCAGGATGTAATCTGATCCAGACATACCCGTCTACTGTAAATGCAAAACCTGGCTTCTGTAACACAGCGTGACTTCTGTAGCAAATATACCTGATATCTGAAAGGTCTTTAAGGTTCATTGAAAAAACACTAATAAGATCAGGCTGTTTTTTGGAGGAATGGATTATATTTCGCTGACATTAATCAATTATAATGCCGAATTGGTTGCTGTTGTTGCTGTTGTTGCTTTTATTGTCTTGTGCATTAGTCTCCCATTGTTCTTTATCAGATGCTTGTAAAATACTTTGAACTGCACAGACTTGTACAAAAGGTGCTGTGCAAATAAAGTTATTTCAAAATAAGAGCCCTGGTTGACATCTCACCCTGGAGATGGCTGTGGCACAGCTGAGTCCAGCCAGCTCCATCAACTGATCCACGCTGAAGCCATACTCACTGAAGAGTTCCTCGTCAATGTGCTGCGCCTCCTCCTGCCTGTGGAGCATCTACAGGTCAGTTTGGACAGTCTATACACGCACGCGCGCGCGCACACACACACACACACACACACACACACACACACACACACACACTCAGTCTGTAAATGGATTTAGTGTGTAAATTCTGTGTCTGTGTACAAGAAATAAAACTTTACCCGAGATACTTGATGGTCTGGGCCATGGTGGAAGCTGGTCTGCTACTGAAACAGTCCTTCTTGTGGTTGTTAGCTGCAGCATACAGCGGGCATGTCCCTGTCTGAGTGAGGACTGCCGTGGCCCTTGAGGTCACCAGGAAGCCGATCCCAAACAGAGCCCGCACACTCAACATCCAGATGGATCCACACTGCTGGAACAGAAGAGAGCACAGCATTCTACCATGAACTGAAGGAAGTTCATCCCCACATCAATCCCATGACTTAATGAACCAATAGAAGTGTAGCGGTGGAGCCTACTAAACAAGAATCTTTTACATGAAGCAATGCCCGCAGGCTGTGGTTCAGATAGACTACTTCAGTGCTGAAGTTCATTCCCCCACTTCTAAAAGCTCTGCTGCACAGTCTGCTGACATCACTGCCTCCTACAGCTGCTACACTGCTTTCATTACTTGTTTGCATTTTTCTCTGCTCCCTCTCTCCACCTGCAGGCTGCATACTCACAGTTCCTCAAGGATATTTGCATCCATCATCCCTCAACCCTCAGCTCCTGCTCAATATAATTTACAGGAAGACAAGACTCTTGATGCCAAAGTTAATTACATTTTTATACAATTACTTATAATTTGGGCTGATTGATCAAATAAAGCACTTTACACTCATTATCTATTAATCTGTTGATTATTTTTGCTCAGTCATTTCATCTATTAAGTGTTAGACGAAATTAAAAACATCCATTTAAATTCACCAGAGCCCAAGGTCAAATTATTTTGTCTGAAAAAAGTCAGTGGATTTATCAATTAGTCAGTTCTTTTAGCAAAGACACCAAACATTTGCTGGTTCCTGCTGCTCAGATGTGATGATTTACTGCTTAACTTACTGTCAAATTATTGTACATTTAATATCTTTACATTTTGGACTGTTGGTCAGACAAAAAAAAAAAAAAAAAAGCAATCTGACTATATCAATTTGAGCTTTAGGAAACAGAGATGGAAATTTTTGTTTATATTTTAATGAAATTTTACAGACTAAATTAATGAATCAATAATAAAAATAATAGGCTAGTTGACAGTCCATAATCACAAACTATTAAATTTAAAAAATTATATTAATCTTCACATTTAATAGCTCCAGTGTTAATCAAGTGGAAACAATCCTCTCTTTAACTGTTATGATATATAATAAATCTGTGTAATTAACAAATAAAAATGGGCAAAATGAGAGATACAATTAAGTGAACAGTTTTAAAACCAGTTGGACTTTCAAACAGTTAACTTGATGACTACATAGAAAGTGATTGTGCAGGTGTCAGTTCATATTAATACACTCCATGCTGGTATTGTTTCATGTGATAATCTTTACTTTACTTTTCATCTCTGTATCACTAAATGTACCTGTAGTGAGTTTAGCAGAGTAGCTAGCTAACTAGTTAGCCCTTGATGGAGATGGCAGTAATCGTCAAGTGTGTTAATTTAAAACTGCTGAGTATCAGTATAAAAACTTAAGACTTAAAACACGTTGTACGTTACTTGTACTTGTACGTTACAGTCTACAGGCTGTTGAGTTGTTGTGAGTTGCTAGCTAACGTTTAGCTCCAGCTTGACTTTGCTTGACTTCGTATATATTTAGTAACACTCACCAAATGTTAGCGAGCCTTTCTGTAAAACAACTTCACATGCACGTTTTCCCTCACAAACAATGCAGTGACACCACTTACAGATCAATAATTAGCTTATTAAATGGTAGCAGCTGTGCAACAACACTTGCAGCCCAAAGACGTCACCCACTTCCGGGTTTGAAAGAAACGTAAACGCTGCCATAATTTCAAAATAAAAGTCCGACCCCGGTAGAAAGTAGGCTACTGACAGGTGTTTATTGAGTAACTTTATTATTATTATCATGAAAGTCATAAAATTGATGGAACAAGTATTTACATACCTAAGTAAAGATAGAAATGCGACACTATAAAGAAAGTCAATGTACAGAGATAAAAGTCCTGAGCGCTTTTTACTGAAGTAAAAATACAGACAATTCTAGAAATACAATATACAAAAAGTAAAGGCACACATTGGAAAATGATTTCCCCTCTCAGAATGTAATATTCAGTATTATACTAATAATTTTGCTATTCATTACTGTTAAATTAATATGTGAGCAGAATATTAAAAGTTCTTGCTAAAATCTTAAACTGTAAAGTTGTAATAAGTGGCAGATATATGTAGTGGAGTAAGAAGTATAATATCCCTCTGATATGGTGTAAACTAAATTAGTTCATAAAATAGAAATTACCTACAGATACTTTAAAATGATACCAGAGGTTAATGTTAACTGATAAGAGTATTAATGTGTTGATGTTTTAAACGTACAGTTCAGAAATGTTCATATATTCACTTTTTGTTGTCTCAAATTTTTAAAAGACCATAGTAAATTAATCACAGTCAGAGAGCTACAATCAGTTGGTCAAATAGATTTAACTCCACAATTACAATAGCCTGCCTATTATAATATTTATACACTATGGTAAAACAGAACAAATACTGCATGTACTTAAATGGTTATCACATCAAGGTTGTTGAACAAGACACATTCTGGAAAAAAGAAAAGTTTATTGATATTAGCAAAAATACAAAATATTCTGTAGAGCTGTAGCAAGGTTGGGGTCAATTTATTCTAACTCCAGAAGAAACTTTTATTCAAAGTAAGTGAACACAAATGACTTTACTGCAACCCTGCTGCAACAGTATGTGTACGGGGTTTAATAAAAATCTGATTTAACAGCACAAGAAAATATGATTTTATCTACCAGCAATGAATTCTTGTTTTACCAGTAAACAAGGCTTTCAGAATAAATTGGCCCAGACAGTTGTTTTAAGGCATTAAAGGAGTTAGTAGATTCTTACTGTATGCTCAGTGGAAGGCTGGTAGATATTTCCAATCCTTAATGTCACAAATACAACCAAAAGTGACTCTTTTAATCATCATTGAAATTTAAGAAAATATTCCATAAGCATGCCTATGTACATTATAAAAAAGCAGTATAAAGTTTTATTGCATATAATATCTTGAACATTATTCCAAAGTACATGAACTGAACTTGATAACTACAACTGGTAACTACAGAACTAATAACTGAAAACTAATAGAGTTGAAGTGTTTCAGCGTGGATCCAGGGGCTCACATGATTGGACAGCTCTCAAGTCTGACTCCAGTCTAAGAGGAAAGATTGACAAAGTTACTAACACCACACACAAATCAATTCAATATAAAGACACCTTGATCATACAGCAAAGCACTCATGCTTCTGGCTCCAAATGAGCTGAATTATATGCCTGTCTTTATAAAGTTTAAAAGGAATATAGTGTGTGTTGCAGTGCCCACCTTGCGAGGAGTGCTGGTGCTGAACACGTAGGAGTGTGGCAGTAAACCCTCGGAAATTCCTCCACTGCGGAATGAGCGGGAGGCTGAGGTCACAGAGCAGTTGCTGGATTTGTCTGAAGGAAGTCCACAAGAGCCACAGACCACCGTCCGGCTCCGCAGGTTGTACTCACTGTCTCCACAGGTGCTGTGAGCCACCTGCTGAGGCAAAGATACAGGTTCAGTATTAACATGTGTATGGGATTTAATGGCATCTAGTGGTGAGGATGCAGATTGCAACCAACTGAAACTTCAGTGTGCTACTTGTGTTGGAGAACTACATTGGCCGATGCAGAGATGTGAATGGCCTTATCTAGAGCCATGTCTGGTTTGTCTGTTCTGGGCTACTGAAGAACAACATGGCGGACTAGAACAGCTCGTTCTAAAGTAACAGAAACACAGTGATTCTTATTTTCAGGTGATTATACACTAAAGAAAACATTGTTATGAATATTATATACCATCTTTGCCAAAATATACCCCTAAATCATACACACTGAACTTTTAACGAGAACACATTGGCAAGTCAATAACACCATTAGGTCTGTCAGCACTGTTGCCATTGTTAGCACTGTTTATGGAGTTAGCACCATTTACTGCTAGCCAGCCCAGCCGCCTACATATTGAGAGCTCTGAATTTTGCATAGAGCCCTGTTAATATCTAGAGAAAATAACATGCTTAACGTCCTCTAATGTAGCTCCGTGAATGTGTAGATCTCTTGCTTTTCTAAGATTTATATGATAGCAAACTGAACATCTGTATGTTTTAGACTGTTGGTCCTATAAAATAAGTAATTCAAATATGTCTGTTTTGGCTGTTAATGGGCCTTTTTTCAATATTTTCTTACATTTTATTGACAAAACTATTAGTTAATTAATGCCAAAAATAATATATATATTAATAAAAATGCATGTGTTTGTGGTATTGAAGTCTGGTTATTGTTCAACTCTCTCAGATCTTCACAGAGCAACTATAGAACAAGAAAATATATAAGCATTACATTACAGGTTGTTTATATGTTTCTGCATTATCTCAATGTACAGGGCCTGTTTCCAGAATATTAATTTAATTTGACATAACAATCTCATCCTACACAGAGCACTTAGATTTATTGTTTAGAAGTCTTACAGTTTAATATATTTAATATTTTGGAGACCATTTAGCGTTCTTAAGGTGTTGTGGGTCTTTCTCTCACCATGTCATCATCTTCATCTTCAAACTGTGTGCGGGTGACCTTCCTCATGGCCATTTCCTGAAGGAAAAGTATTAGAGTGTTTATTTCGGCCAACATAACTTGACACGAGCACTGTGGCAATAATAAACTTAATGTCATCATAGTATCAAAGCTTAAATAAAATACCATAAGTTTGACTGGTAAGTTTAAAATACCTCTCCGTTGGCACTGATCAGGGTGGTCTGGAACAGGTCTCCGGTGCCCCAAGAGGGCTGAGTCTTCCACACCAGGTCAGAGGGAGGATTGTGGGTGCCCCCAGCGCCAGAGGCCCAGATCTGTCACCCATGGTGAAGGTACAAATAAAGGGTGAGGTATCTGCAACTGTGTTTGTTGCTGTGCTGATTTTGTGACTCTAGTGAGTAAGGGTGTTTCTTACCGTGACCCTCTGGCCAGCTTTCAAGGTGAATTTTACTGGAAACTTGAAGATGATCGGAACACCAGATCCCACGTGTCGCTTCACCTGCCAGTTCCCCAAATTCTGATCCTGGTGGGCCAAATGTCAAATGAAGGTGAGTGGTATATTTCTTTAAAAATTCAGTCTCTATTAACAATGTCAGAAAACTGTAGACATCTTGTATTGACCAACCACACATTGTGCAACTGTAGCAGAAAGAGCCTTTAGTTTACACCAACATTATCCTTCTTCTCACCTCATCTGATTTGTTGCTGAGTCTGACATATTTCCCATCCAGGTCCACCTCATCCACAGTGACCCGTCCGCTGGCTGAGGCCTGCTGGCTGATGCGAGTGCGGGACACAGCTCCACCTGCGATGCTCGAGGCCTCGCTGTCGGTGTCGTTGGGGCGGCGCCTCTTGACAGGAGAGCTGTGAGCACTGTAGTGGTGGACTGATCTAGAGTGAGCTCCTGAAGTAGAGGAACGACTTCCTGTCACTTTGGTGGGCGGGGGGCTGGGAGAGAGACGCAGCCTGCAGAAACAAACATGATGATGTTCAGTCACAAATTATCAAAAGTCTTATTTTACTGAATTAATGTCATTGTGAGTGTCAGCACACCTCTGCTCCTCTCCCTCCAGCAGCTTCCTGTATGCGCATATCTCCATATCCAGAGCCAGCTTGACATCCAGGAGCTCCTGGTACTCATCCAGCTGCTGCTGCATTTGCTGCCTCATCTCGGCCATCTCTCTGTCTTTCTCTCCCAGCAGGCGACGGGTGGTGTCTCTCTCCCGAGACAGGGCGTCCTCCAATTCCCTTAACTTCGCCTCACGGGCTGCCAGCTGGGTCAGACAGAAAAATTACACAGTTATTGTGAGATCAAAAATAGACGGGTAAGATTTGAAATTACTTTGTCTCTTGGGAAATATGTCTTGGTCATAGTAGCTGACACATAAAGTACACAGTGCAGAAGCACTTTTTCGTCATTTCACACCCTCCCTTGGTCCTTCCAGGAGTTTAGAAAATTCAGTGATAGAAGGATGGGAGTTTTTATGTAAGTCTTACAACACAGCAAGTATCCTACAGAAGACTTAAGTCCCAGTAAGAACCATGAATATGATATTTGTGAGATGCTCATTTCAGATCACCTGTTTCTGCAGCTGGCTGAGCTGAGCAGACGTGGACTCCAAGCGGATTCTTGTCTGCTGGAGTTCCTCGTGTGCTGCTCCAACCAGGTGACTGCTCCTGTCCGCTGACTGACGAGCATTTTCCAGCTGAAAGAAAGAGACAACAAGGTAGGTTCATTAGTACTATTTTGTAAAACTACATAGCTGCTCCACAACAAAACTGTCCTACCAGCAGCTTGATTCCTATCTTAACATGTTTAGTTACTGTTGTGAAATTCACAGTCTACCTTGGAATTGTAGGTCTTCTCAATCTCATCTTTGTACATTTTAAACTGCAGCTCATGCTGGCTGCGCATGTCCATCAGCGCCTCAGCCAACTTGCTTTCAAAGTCCTGCTGGTGGCCGTTGTCCAACTCAACCATACGAGACTCATGACGTCGCTTTGTCTCCCGCAGTTCCTGTTAGAGAATTACCAACAAAATAATTTTCACTCTCAACAACAAATTTCATTTTTTTTACTAATAGGTGGGTGCTGATGTGATCAAATAAAAAAGAAAAGAAAGGGAGGGAGTGAGAGTTCTTTTTAAGAATGATTAATTCATGCTAAGACATACCTCAGAGTGGAGGTTCTTCTGAAAGTCCAGCTCCTCTTTTAGGGTCTGGATGCGATTCTCTCCGTCCACCCTCCTCAGCATCTCATCCTGCAGCTGCTTCTTGGCATCAGCCAGACTGGTGTCCAGCTAAAAAGGCACAACAGGAGCTGAGTATTAGTACAAAGCCATGTACAAACACTCACATGAACAGGCACCAGGGTGCAGAAATACACAGTAAATACAGCTGGAGGGCAGGAGAGCAGGGAGACTGTTCTTTAATCAAAATGTCTGAGCTCCAGCAGCCATGACAGAAAAGCTGAAGTCAGCAAAGAAATCCATTTGCTCACACAGACACACGCCAGTACTGAATATTATATTTTATTTATACTCCAGAAAATGATCCTGGGTTAGTGAGGCCCTTACAAACCTCCACTGGAAATAAATGGGCAGTGGAGGAGGCAGAACAGGGTTGTAGCTTTGATAAGCTGACAGGTTTTTGTGGAAAACACACAGGAGTTATGAGGGACAAACTAAGTGTTGGTGAGCCTGTGGGCTGACTGCAGAAAGATTGACCCCAGATGTGTTTCCACAGAGCTATAAATTGAGCGTGGGTTTGTGTTTACCTTGGCAACCTGTGCCTTTAGGTCCCTGTTTTCCACCTCAAGGTTACGCTTCTCTCCTAGAGCTGTCGTCAAGGACGCATCCTTTGAGTTCAGCAGAGCTTCCAGGTCTTTGAGCCTCTGCAGTGCTGCAGCCAACTCTGCCTCCTTCTTGGTGTTCCTGCAAAGACAAAAATTGTCTCAGATGTTGAGTTGACATCCCATTCATTCTGCTTTGTAACTTAAGAACCATGTGGAAAATGGATAAGTACAGTTTCCTACACGCAGTCTAATGAAACAAAGATGAGTTATTTTTGAATAAGGATGTAGCCCGGATGAAACAGAAACGGGAAAGACCCTCGGTGCATATGACTCATAGGCCACAGTCATCCACAACCAGTCCCGTGTATGTGGTTGCCACAAACCACAGCCGTTGGTGTTTAGCCTAGATGCTGCCATGGCAACAGCTTGGCTTTGCCAAACACACATCGGCCGTCGTCTCAATATTTATGGAAAAATAATGGAGGCAGGACTGGAGCCCTCTAAACACTGCCACGTATTGTGTGTATAATGATTACTTTGGTGAAGGAGGAGAAACTGGGGAAAGAGTTAGTCATCAGGCTCTGGATGTGGCAGTATGGGAAGGAGTCGGACTAGGAGCCCGACGTCAAACTGAAGTGAGCAATGAGGAGGGTATGCTGAAGCTTGGGAGTGGCCCCGGTGGCAGGGCAACACTGCTCGCAGATTGTCAGCAGTAAAGCATCAGCTATTAAAAGCTAATGAGTAACTGTGTTCTGCTGCTGTGTATCATGCGCAGAGAAGTTTTAGATCTAACACAGCAATCACAACACTCTTATTCATGCTTTTACTGAGAAAGATTTGGTTGAAAATGGGTTTCAGAAGCCTCAAGGCAGCTGTGTCCTCCCATGATAATCAGATGAACAAAGACTTGTGTCTTTTTTTTTTTTTTTTTTTTTTACCAAAAACCCCTTTAATCTTGGGGGAAAAACAACTAATCACACAAATTCAGCTAGTTGTAACCTCTATGGCTTAAGAATGGAGCCAACTCTCAAGTGCCAAAAACTGCAGATCCTTGAATGACCACTTGAGGCTGGCTCCAGAAGCGAGTCAATAGACCCTCATGTTAAAATGTCAAACTTTATAGCAGAAAATGTTTATAGCCTGATACAATAAAAAAGGTTCTTTGTTCTTAATAGCTTACTTCAACATTCATAACAACTGTAGGTAGGTGAATTATTATACGACTCACCCACTTACATCAAATTAAATTACACATATTTCGGAATGTGGCCACTTGAGTGACAAGCTGTCTGCAAGGCGTCACTATAGTGTGTGAGTCAGGTCCATCCTCACTCCTCCACAGCTCCACCCTCTTATGAAATATGGTCACTTCTGGCTCCAAAAAAACAAGATGGCGACAGCTTAATTGCTAAACTTCAGGCTTCAAAACAGCAGTCCACAAACCAGTGGGTAGCTACGTCTGTTTTTTTATACAGTCTATAATTTAGCTCTCTTATGTGTTCTCCCATAAGAGCTGAAGAAGAAATAATTGTGTTACTTTATGTCTACAGTTATAGTGTACTCCAATAAAGTTTTGTGATTCTGACTTTAAAGCTAGCCTATGTTGTTTTAGCTTTGCAACAGCTACTGTGGCCAAAAGTGCTAATAATAGAATAATAGTAAATGCGAAAACAAGTAGAAACGAGTCATAGAGACTGCTAACTGACACAGTAGTTTGTTTACAATATATATCTAAAGTTTGCTAATATTAGCCACCATTAGCTGCTGGTCATACCAGACCACGAGGCTGCAACAGCTAAACTCCTGAGTGTACTGAACTGAGGAAAGGTGTATTTGTTCTCTGTGAACCCAGCTTTCCATCTCTTGGACGAATAATGTGTTATTTGTCTTTTTAAAGTTATATAGTCTTACTTTGATTGTAAAGAAACTACATCTCACAAATACACATGGGCGCTTTTAAGGAATTCAGGGCCTCTGAAGTGCTGAGACATCCCTCTCCACCCTAATTAAATTGATTTATCTCCATTTATCACACATGCATACTCAGAAAACACTAGATTTAGATTGATGTGCTGTAGCCCACCTTGCTTTCAGCTCCTTGTAGTCCTCTCGCAGCTTTCCCAGCTCCAGCTGCAGACGCGCTCGCTCCTTGGCCACAGAATCCAGAGTCTGACGGGCATCGGCCAGCTCGGTCTCGTAAGCAGCTTTCAGGCCCGTCAGCTCCCGGCTGACCTCTGTCTCTGACTCAGTGATGCGCAGACGCAGGCCGGCGTTCTCAGTCTCCAGAGAGCGCACCTTGTCGATGTAGACGGCCAGACGGTCGTTGAGGTTAGACAGATCCTCCTTCTCCTGGAGACGGGTGATGCGGTTGGGGGATAGAGGGGTGTTGGCACCTCGGGGAGTGTTTTTTGGTGTTGCCATTGCACTTCTATCTGTGCAGAAATAGACATGATCATCAATTTTTATCATTCTGAAAGTTAGTTTTTCATGCACAACTAATGTACAGAATTCTTTTTACTTAGTACAATAAGAACAGGACTTTACATAGGAGGATGGAGGAAGCTGACCATGCAGTTCTGTCTGCAAATCTACATTCACTACTGTTAACATTAAAATAAATCCAGAAAACAATAATAAAAACATGCCTTGTTCTTCGATAAAAGTAGATTTTGACTTTTAAGGAGAGGAAAGTTCAGATCTGTGAACTTTCATACGTAAAACAAAGGCATAACTTCAGGTTTAGAACTGAAAAGAAAACATAAACAACTGCAAAGTGTGCACTGCTTCCAGAAACTTCCAACTGTTTTGAGTGCAGTTACATAAAATACACAAAAGACAAAGCACAATTAATCAAAAGACATGGGAGGGGTCATCGACTCCACCCAAGAATCAAAGTAATGTCCCTGCATAAACGATGTCAGCTTGGATGGGAAGATTTACCTTTTTAGAGCTGGTCTGACGAAGAGAAAACTCTGCTGTGAGGATATTCGTTGACTTGTCTGTTAATTTTCTTGGTTATCTTGCGATCAGAGAGTCCCTCCTAGTTCTCCAGCACTGTTCAGTCTGTTACTGTGCTGTCTGCAAGTCCATCTGTGGGTGCCCATATAGGAAAGAATGAGATGGGAGGAGAGGAGAGAGGTTGGCCTCAAGTTTGGCACTTGTTAGATGGCTGTTCCTCTCTCGCTCTTGCTCTGTCTCTCTCCCACTGTAATGGGTGTGCAGTCTGAATGAATGAGTCACCCTCTGCTCAAAGAAATGCACAGTGCCATGTGATACATACAAGGGATAATTTTAAGCAGCTCTATCGCCTGGGAGTTGAGTCCTACTGATTCACAGTGTTTGACTCGAGCTACACTGCTTATATTTCTCCATGAAGTTAAAATGAACAAGTAACATGAGAGCTTTCAGATTGTTTTAACCCCTAAATACAGAACTAGAGTTTTCAGAGTCTGAAGCATGTTTTAATGCATACTGACTCTGGATAAACAAATCCAAAATACTTTCTTATTCTTCAGTTAAAAGCCTCCTCATATAAGTTACACTCCTCCAAAAGCTCTTCAACATGCTCTAGACTCTAGGTCTTCAACAGGGGGGCTCTAGATACAACTCAGCTTTAAAATATGGTGTATAAATACATTAATCTGTCAATAATTGTTACTTTAATATCTTAGTATGATATGCACCATAAAAAGGCAGGTCTAAACATGACACACAGGCTGCCCTACACATTATTGCAGGCCTAATATGCAACTCAGTTTTGTACAATATATGTGTTGGGGTTCCCTGTGATGTCTGTGTTTCAGCTAAGGGGTCCTCCTGACATTGAAACAACATTGAAGACCCCTGCTCTAGAAGACCTAGTGATGTATGACTGATTTGCAAATGATGTTTTTAACCCATTGAAAGGTCCAGTGTGTCAGATTCAGTGGCGAGGTTGCAAAATTGAAACTCCTCCCTTGAGCCAAGCGTGTAGGAGAACTACGATGGCCGATGCGAAAACGTGGATGGCTCCCAGCCAGTGTTGGAAAATACCTTTTTGTGGCTGGGGTTTCCAAAAGCTACCAGCCACTTAATAGATTACCACTGGGTATTTTGGCTGGTGGATGAATCAAATCTAACAGCCACATGCATACTTTACCAGCATGTGGCTGGAGGCTGGTGCTAACTTCCAACCCTGCCTCCATCTAGTGGCAGTATTTGATTTGTCCGCTCTGGGCTACAGTTGAGCAACATTGTGGACTCCATGCAAGAGGACTCACTCATGTAGATATAAACAGCTCATTCTAAGGTAACAAAAACACAGCGATTCTCATTTTTTAGGTGGTTATAAACTAATTCAAACATAGTTATGAATATGATATACCATATTTATCAGTATATCCCCTTCACCCTACACACTGGACCTTTAACCCTGGTGGGGTAATCGTTACAAACAAATGGTCGAGCTGAATTTTGGGGAAATGTGTATAAAAAGATGCACCAGACATCCAAAATACATATATGCATTTGATGGTGCAACCATAAAAACATGAAGTATTGGACTGAGATTTTCCAGGCCTGCTTGCCTCAAATCCAAGGTCCCAACAATCAAAATTAATTATTGTTTCAACACTGTGAATTTTTATGAGGACCAGCAGGCTTTACAGAAGCTCACAAACAACAATTTAGAGGTTTGAATGTGTGAACACCCAATTATGCTGTGTAGGTGGTGGCAGGTGGCGCGTGAAGCAATGACGCAACTGCAGGAGACAACTTGCAGTCAGTGGAACATGGAAATCAAAAAGAACTTGATTTTCTGTTCTTGCACAAAGTATATAAATTCAAGCACTTTCAATGACCCATGTAAACTTATGTCAACTTACAAAAATTCTCAAGGCTTTGATATTATCTCAAATTCACAAACTAAGGATTAGTGGGAATCTCTTTCTGTCAACTCTTTTCCAAGACTGTATTATGAATATATAAACGTATAAAGAATGAATAAATTACACATGTCCACCAGATGACCCTAATAATTGGTTTCTTGATGAAAATGTATTTTTAAAAGGACTTTATTTGTTTAGCTGTTTAACTTTTAATAAAATCCAAATTATCAAGAGGCAATTTCTCTGAAAGACAAAAATTATGAATTAAAAAATGTTATCGTTGGACTGTGGTGCTGCGAATGTGAAGGTGTTTGAGGGTCAAGGCCTCAGTGTGGACATGAGAGTGAATTTTCCTTCATGTTGTTTCTTTTGCAGAACTAAAGAGATAAAAAGCATCCTATTTCACAGGGGGAAAAAAACAAAAATTAGAGAGAAGCCAGAAATAAACAAAATTATGTTCAACTGATTTATCTTTCTTTCTTTCTCATCCTTTTAATCATCTTGTGAACGCTCAGATTTACACCGCCTGTAAAAAGAATTCACTGCTCTTGGGCCTTTCCATGTGTCATGGTTTAACATCACTGACGTGATTTAGTGTGGCTTTTTTTTTTTTTTTACACTGATCAACAGAAAAAAGACACTTTGATGTCAGAGTGAAAACAGATCTCTGTGATCTAAATGAAGTACAAATGTAAAATTCAAAATACTTGTTTGCTTAAGTATTGTCCATCTCCAAATCTGCATCAGTTCAGTGTTGTAATACGACATAAAAACATCCATGCTGTGAGGTCCTCTACTGGGAACCCACTGATCGAAGGGCCAGAGGGTCAATATTCACTAAAATTCCATGCTACAGTCAACACATCATTCTTTTAATATACATGTAAAAGGACTCTTAACACAATTTGTAATGAATTCTTTGCTTGTAATTTGTACATTTCTATTAATTTCCTTTTACTGCTTATGTTGAAACTTTGAAATCTTTGTGTTTATGTTTTTTCTTTTTTATGTATTAATATTGCCATTTATTAGGGGAGGTATCTTCATAAGCCATTTTTGCCTTCTGACCTCACAATGTTTAGAATTTTTATATACTAACTGTCCTGTCTATACACCTGTATGTGCAAAGAAATAAACTATAATCATATTTTGATGTGTAAAGTGTACAGTTATGTCTGTTTGGTATGATTTCTGCTGCCACACACACCCCTGTATGGGGCACTTAAATCTATTTTATGTGAATATTTTAATTGTTAATGGTGCAATTGTGCAAACTCTCTATTCTATCCTTTTCTCTTTCACACTATTTCAGTGATTTATTGAAAATTTTAGGGCTTTTGGAGCGCAGCTCTTTCACCATGCAGCTCAACAGTGTGACTGCATGTCATAAAAATCACACTGTCGCCAACTAAAAACACAATGGAACTCATTTATTCGAGGAAACATTGTGAATTTAATAAAACATTTGAAAGGGGAATTGTTTAAACCCCAGGTGTGGCTGGATTATTCGCTGTAGTCCTTGCTGAGGACATGATGTCTCCTGACAGACAGGGTACAGATCGCCTCCCATCGGCTGAGTCTGACACAAAGGTTGACACTGACTGCACAAAGACAACACGACCCCCTCCAACTGTTCTCCACCTCAACCTGTCCTCTGATATTGAAGTAAAAATAGGTGCTAACTGTCCGACACAACATAAAACCTGTGAATTATGAGGAGCGTATGCGCGCTGCGCTGCGCGTCGCTCTGTGGCAAGACATGGACTCTTTCTGTCATGTGGTTTGAGTGAAAACCCGTATTGGATCTCTGTGGTCACCTGGGCAGACAACCTGAAAAAAGTGCCGTGGAGGAGCTGATTGTCAGCGTGTGTCTGTCAGATAAATACAGCTCAGTATAATATGACTGACTGGGAAAAACACAAAGCGTGATCTTTAAAACTCAAAGCAATCCAAGCGTGTTTGTACAAGTTTTACTGCGGAGATGAGCCGAGAACAAACACAATGCTCCACTTTAACCACCAAACTCTTTGCATCCGAGGAGTCACGTGAATACTTGGTTGCAACATGTCTAATCTTAGAAAGCCAGAGCGACATGAACAGTGAAAAGGCATTCATTTTATCGCATAATAAAGCGTACAAATGAGTCCACTCCGTATCTTCTTGGCCGCATGTCGCAGCCCGCAGCTTTGCGCGGATAAACAGCAGCTGTGCGCCGCAGAGCAACAAAAAGGAAAACCAAGGACAAAAAGACTTCCTGCAGTCGACCTTATAGGAAATAATCTTCCATCCGTGCATCCTACAGTTAATCTAAAAAGACTTTAACGATCTTAACCCCCTCGATCGGAGTACCACCGCCTCCGTGAAGCTGCGTAAACCCCCGGAGTGTTTTTTTTTTCTGTTTTCCGCACAGACGCAGACGGCTCCCTCCTGCTCAGCAGCGGCCTCCATTTTAGCTCCTTGCCCGGTCGGTGCCTCACGTGTCCTGGACTGTCTTTCTCACATGACCCGTGTGTTTGTCCCCGTGATCAGCGCTTCCATCTCCGTAAATCAGTGTCGTTGAATATCGGCGTTTTACACCCGCAAAAAGCTTTATGGATATGCTGGAGCAGAGTCTGGACAGCACGGCGAGGTGAGAGGCTGCTGCCCGCTTCCTGCTCAGCCATGGCTCCCTCCATGGCCTAAAACCCTTTTCTCATTGCAACGCAATGCTCTGTTAATAGCTTGCATGCTCCAGATAGTTTTAATGTTGTACACCGGGGTTTTTTTTGCCTGGATGACCAAGTGTGCAGCTTGCGGGGATTATGCGTTTTGGCACCCTTAAAGACATTTTCAGCCAAAACTGTGCGCCCTTTTGCAAATCTGTAGCGATCACGATTACTGTTTATATTATTTGATAAGAAATGCAAATGCACAGCAGCAGTTTATGTCTGTGTTTCAGGTCAGGGCAACCTTTTATTGCACTGTGCTGTTACTGTCCCTAATGCAACTATTATAGGATTAAAATGCGTAAATGAAACCAGGAGGGGCGGCGTTTTATAGTATTATAGTAATTTGTGAAGTTTGTCCTGCCTTGTGCAGCTTATCAAATCACTTAGATTTCAATTTAAATCATCAAGTAATTGTAATTATCTCCTGGAAGTTGCAGAAAATGTGATTTTTGTCACGCTTACACGCCGGTTATGATTCCCTTTATTTATGTTTTGTCCATCATTTCCTCATGTGGCCACCTGGTGGCGCACTTCATCCACAACTGGTTATGACAGCTTGCTCTACATATACATTTATGATAAATAATTGACTCACTGGTGCTCTCCTTTTTGTTTTTAGTCACGACAAACAGGAAACAGAAGAGGTGGTGCAGTTACAGGAAGGTGGGAGCGTCGTTTCTTAAAATCCTGACATGTGAAAATGATGAGCTTATTTTCCTAAAATGAAATGAGTGATGCAGTGTGAGGTTTTGTTTTTCAAGATACATTATAAAAACTCAGATTGATCTTTCACCCAAAGCTTTGTGGAAAAAAAATCATGATTTTGAGTAAAATGTGTGAGTGTCTGCAGATAACTTTGTTATGGTGCTGCCTCGGTGCAGGGTCACAGATTTGAGCCATGTTGACCTGTGTGTTGCAGGAGAGGCAGTGGGGACGGAGGAGCAGACTGCAGTGACCATCACCGGTGTCCCGCAGGCTGCGTTCGCTGACCACAATGTGCAATACCAGTTCCGTACAGAGAACAGTGGAGGACAGGTCGGCACGGAGAACACACCTCTGCACAACAACATGTTTTTACATTAGTTCATTACACTTTATGTTTAGGAAGCTTCACTGATACCAAGAATTTGTATTTTACACGAGAGACAGGAACGTCACATATGTAATACTGCAACAAAACAATTCAAACACAAAGCAGTTATCACACACACACACACTGATCAAACCATTTCAAACATGACAACACAGTAAACATTTCTGTTCCCTGTGAGAATGTTTTGCAGGACGAACATCAGCTGTCAGAAAGTAAACATGGAACCGAAGATGTTGCCTAGCAATGCATTTCCAGTAAACAGCCTGTTACTCAAAACGTTACTAAAACACGAGGCATGCTAATACGTCCAGTTTACGTCGGAGCACATAAACACACTATTTAATCCTTCAGAATCAAAATCTGGTTCATCGCAAAGTAGGTTTTCACATGTAAGGAATTTGCTTTGGTGTTTCGATGCATAACATATTAAAAGAACATGAATGAAGGCAAGTATTGCAAAAAAAAGAATTGAAAATTACAATTTAAAAAATGCCATAAAATATGTACAATATACAGTATCTGAATAAAAATGAAAGAGCTTCACTGCTTCAACATGAAGAAATCTAAAGCTAGACAGGCCTGCCATGCCAAGTTGCTCAGCAGGATACTGAGCAATGTTTGGACAATAGCTGTTTGGCATAGGGGCTTTAGCCCACAGGTAATGTTCAGTGTACTGTCAGATGATTTCAAGTCCCTTGGTAAATATGCTGGAATGGCACCTCAGTTAAAGTAAGTTAGTCTAGCACTGTTCACACCAGGTTGTTTTTAAGTGACCAATTTAAATTCTAGAAATAATCCCAAGACAGATGAGACAGATGTGAACACCTGATAACCAGTTACTCATGCTTACTAGCGTATCAAAAACAAACAAGAAGTCCTGAGAATTCTCACATGGTGGCAGCATTATCCAGGTAAATGGAAAGAAATTCGTCCATGTGATTGAGCAGCGACACCATACATGCATGCAGTCGTACATAAGAAGCTGTTACAGTTGCAGTTGATACAACTGCGCCTGAGTTTGAGTGGACTCAGGATCTCCGCCTGTGTCTGTCTCTCTAACCAGAGAGCCTCACAGGAGATGAAAACATACAGCTATTAAGGAATAGTCATCATTTCAGTCCCTCCAAATAGTACACGTTTTATGAAACTATCACTCTTTGCTACGTCTCCAGGTGACCTATCGCGTGGTGCAGGTGACAGACGATCAGTTAGAAGCAACAGCTGATGCGACTGGAGCTGTCAGTGTCGTCTCTACCGCAGCGTTTGCGGGAGCCCCTCAGGCAGTGGCACAGGTGAGTAAGAAGCAAGTGATGTTCATCTTAATTCATAGTGTTATCAAGCAGTATAGAGTGTTCCAGGGATGACGTTCTTCTGTGGGCCGACGCGGAAGTTAGCATCGCCCTGGTTCCCTCGTCACAGAGCATTTGGAATTTTGCCACTGGGTTTTGGATAAGTGCTGAAAATAAGTTCTGGGGCTAATAATCGTTTATGATTATCATAGGTTTTGTTCAGCAAGATAATCTGTACATATTAAGTACCACTTTTATTATTATTATTGAAGCCTAAATGCAACTGTTTGAAGCACAAAGCTAACTGAAGGCTATAAACGAACTACATCATCATTTCCTTTTGAGGGAAACGTGAATTCAGATCTGCTACAGCATTGTGAAAAATTACAAAGACATACACAGCCTTAACATGTATTATATATTACTTATTTAACATTTGACCAATTTGTCCCTGTCTCCACCTTTGCCAGGCTGTTATCCAGAACCCTTTCAGTAATGGGGGCAGTCCTGGAGGGGAGACAGTGGGAGGAGAGACACGTTTCGCTTATTTCCCTGCCGCCACTGTCAGCGATGGAACAGCCACGGCCGTGTCCGTGCAGGCCACCGCCGACCCAACGATAACACAGACAGGAGGTGAGAGAACGGCAGTGGCTCCACCTCTTAAGAGACACAAAGTGAGTCATCTCTTGAGGATAACTTTATTTTTCGTCGTTTGTCTTTTTAAATCCAGGCCAGTTTTACGTGATGATGAGCCCCCCTGAGGTGCTACAGACGACGGCCCCTCGTACCATCGCACCACGCACACACACCTACACTGCGTGAGTATAACAAAACACTCCCCGGCACATTCATCCCACCCCTGCAGTTACCAAAATCACCACAACACTCTCCCAACGTGTTTGGCCGACTTGTCACCCCTTTCCCTGTAACCTCACAGTGGATTGGCTGTTCTTTACCTCTTCCTTCCCTTTTTTTTTGGAATGATTCGTTTTGTCATTGTGTGTACAAATGATACAAAAAAAAAGTAAAATCAATATCCATCATTTAAAACATCCAACATCTGAAAACCACACTCTGTCCTACTTACCTGCCATCCCCAGAGACCTTGGTGAAAGCGAGATGTTGCAGCATGGCAGTTCAAACTGGTGAGAAGAACTTTCACATACGCCCCCACCCTGCCCCCATCATGTGTTGTAGAGACAGACGTTTGGTGGTTCACTGATCAATCATTAGCATCCTTGTATCATGAGTTATGTGTTGACAGGTTGACAGGCAGCTTTAGTCCTGTTAGCAAATTATACGTCATAAGTCAGTGGCTGAATCCCACAAACCTTTGCTCTTTGGAGGACCAGCTGTGCCCGTACCCTCTTCCCCAAGGCTTATAAAGAGCAATTAATGGTGCATTTGGGAACTCCTCATCAACCAGCCAAAAAGTAATCATGAAATATTTTGAATGCATCTGACAATAAGGTGTTTTTTTTTTTTTTGCATTTTCATGAAGAGGATTCTAGTTCAGGTGTTACTGTTATTTGTTGGTTAATATTTATGTATCATTTCACTGTTAAGTTTGTTTCGCTGTGTCTTTACAGGAAAGTGGAGGGTCCACGGGCACCCAGAGATGAGCGGCGAAGAGCACAGCACAATGAAGGTATGTGGTCATGAGTGTCTGAATCTATCATGTCTCAGCCTCAATGACATCAAGTCCTGGATGCAAGCCAACTTCCTCAAACTGAACTGTGAAAAATCTGATGTGATCATCATCAGTCCCAAATCTCTCACAAAAACTTCTCACAACTTCTGCCTCACCACTGACAATTCCACTCTGTTTCCTCCCCAAACATCCGCAACCTCGGAGTCATTTTCGACAACAACCTCTCTTTCGGAAAACACGTCAATCACATCACCAGTACTGCCTTCTTCCACCTATAAAACATAGCTCGTCTCCGCCCTTCACCCTCCCCCACTGCAGCTGAAACTCTCATCCATGCCTCCAGAACTCTGCTGCCTGTCTGCTCACCCATTCCCGATCCTGCGATCACATCACCCCTGTCCTCCAGAACCTCCACTGGCTCTGTCCCACAACACATCCAATTCAAAGTCCTTCTCCTCACTCACAAAGCCCTCCATAACCATGCCCTCTCCTACCTCACTGACCTGTTCCACGCCACACTCCTTCCCGCAGCCTCCGCTCCTCTGATGCCAACCCCCTGACTCCACCACTCAGGACCAAGCACCGAACCTGGGGCGACAGAGCCTCTCCATAGCCGCCACCTCCCTCTGGAACACTCTCCCCAAACACATTCGAGACCGCACCGACCTGTCCCAGTTCAAATCTCTACTCAAAACACATCTTTTCAAAACAGCTTTTAATGTGTGAATGATGTTATGTGTATTTTATTGTAGTCTTATTTGTGATTGTTTTTAACCAATGTAAAGCATCTCTGAGTACCTTGTATTTCCGGTTTAAAAAAAAAACAGTTTCTGTCTTTCTGTCTCTGCAGTGGAGAGAAGAAGAAGAGACAAGATTAACAACTGGATTGTCACACTTTCAAAAATCATCCCTGACTGTAGCATAGACAGCAGAACTGGAGCGGTGAGTGTCCCATATATTTTCCAAAGCATGTGAAATAGTGACTGAAGTAGCTGAAGTTTATTAATCCCTCAATGGGGAAATGCGATTTTACGCTCTGTTGTTGCTACACACACGGGCCCAAAATACACACACACACACACACACACACACACACACACACATGCACGAACGGGACCTATACACATGCATTACTGTACAGGCAGCCACATAGTCGGCACTCCAAGCAGTGGGAGTCTGATGCCTTGCTCAAAGGCACCCCAGTAGTGCCCAGGAGGTGAACTGTCACCTCTCTAGCCACCAGTTCACACTCTGTACTTTGGTTCATTTGGTTCTCGAACTGGCAACCCTCCAGTCCCCTAAGTTCGTTCTTATGACTGAACTACTGGTGCCATAGACTGGCTACCTGTGTTTTTGATTAAAGGGAAACTTCAGTATTTTTTTAACCTGGACCCTATTTTCCCATGTTTTTAAGTCTAAGTGACCAGTGGAGACAACAAAATTCAAAACTGGTCCAATATTGAGAGAGAGCCGTACAGCTGCAAAATGGGCTGCTATGTAACCAATTGGGGCAACTGTGCACCATTAGTATACGTCCTTTAAAAGGGCTTGTTTTTGCCACTGACAGGCTCAGATTGTTGTTATAAGTGCCTGACAGCATTACAGAAAGAGAAATTAAATGTTTTTTTTGTTTACCTTTTGCTTGATTAGGTCTGTCTGTTGTTGTGTCTGACCAAGTCTCGCTCAAGAGAAGTGTAATTTTAAAATGTCTCAATGATTTTCAGTGCCAGGGCTGAATATTTACCTGATTTTTAAAATGTGAAAAAGTACGTAGAATTTCAGAACAACATTTTCCCTGAGGTGTTCTAATGTGTCAATGTGCTGCACTTCACAGAGTAAAGGAGGCATCCTGTCCAAAGCTTGTGACTACATCCGAGAGCTGCGTCAGAATAACCAGCGACTGCAGGAGAGTTACAAAGAGGTGGAACGAGTGGAGATGGACAACGAGCTGCTTAGACAACAGGTTGACTTTCAGAACAAACCTATGCATTCTATGCGCATGTCTAACCTTTTAGTTTGTGCGACGTGAACAAACATATTTAGATGCAGGGCCTGGAAACATAAAGTTGCCTATTTAATTTGTGGTGTCATACATGTTGGCACACATTGCACACAAGTATTGCAATTATTTTCTCACATAAGTAAAATTATACCTCGTCTAAAGCCCCTTTTTTGATTCTGTTGTACTTAACAATAACATGACAACAGTTTATGCTGCGTCATATAGAAGTTAAATAATTACCATCTTGTAAAGAGCATTCACACCAACATCTAAGCTGTAATTACAGCTGGTGTCAGCGGTGTCACTGTTACAGTCACAGAGACACACACTGACGTTTTAACTACTGTTGTACTTGTAGGCTGACAGTAAACTAAGCTCACTATATTGCTTCTTTTCTATTTCTGTTTCCACGTGCCTCATAATCTTCATTTTATTTTTCTAGATTGAGGAACTGAAGAATGATAATGCACTGCTTCGAGCACAGCTACAGCAGCATGGCGTAGAAGTCAACGGGGATGCAACACCGCAGTGATTGTGGACTGAACACATGTAACATCATAAACACAATGTCGCATCCTCCCACCCACCTGAACAATACTAGGAAAGGAATAACAATGAGAGACAATTTCCATCTGAAACTGGACCACACACACACACGCACACGCACACACACACACACACACACACGCACACACACACACACACACACGCACAGGGCTTGAGAAGAACACTGAAGGACTGCAAACGCCTCCTCCACCTACAGATGTTCAAGGCTGAGCGCTCTGAAATCCGTTATCTGTGTAGCTTACAGAACCTCTCACCTCTGCTTCAAGGAGTACGACCTCTACACAGCACCACCACGCTTGCACCAAACCTTCTTTTTACTTTAAATTTTGAACCTGCCACAGAAAATTTACTTTTAATGATATCACCTTTTTATCGTGCCGCAAACTTCTCTTCCTTCTCCTACTTTTTTGTTGACATTTGCTGTGTGTGAAACTACTAAATGTGACATGAATGATAGCTCCCATTTACTTTTAATTTATTAGTTTTTACAGAATGTGTACAAAGAAAAAGAGAAGCTGATTTTGTGAATTTACTCTTTTCCCACCAACACATATTGGGCAGATCAGATATTTTAATCATGTCCATCACTGTTACTAAGCATAGGTTTACTGTCAGTGGATCATGTGTATATAAAGCTGATCTGTATGCACTTTGAGGTTCAGTTTCTGCCTCTTTACACTGACACTCCAAGCACCAGGCAGAGCTCACACACTTTATAAACATAATCCACAGTCAGTAAATGAAAAATAAGTATATATAATACTTTTCTGACAGTCTAGGTAAAAGCAGCTTGATAGCACAGGCATGGAGGTTTTATTTTTAATGCAAGGCCTTACTAGAAGCCCGTTGGAGAATCTAGGTGATAACATAGCTCAGGTAATTGCACTGGCAAGTGGTTCCCAGACTCAATGAAGTCTTTACATATAGCGTTTAGATCTCTCTTGTGTCCCCCTTAGGTGCAATGTACAGATAAATGAGAATATGGAAATGATTTTCAAGGTGGAAATCACTTTTAACGGGCATTAAAATATGGTTGGTTTCTATATCTGCTAAACAGGTCACTGGTGTAATGCACTGAAATAGAGGTTATGAGAGGTCTTGGTTTGAGACCAGCCTCTGTTTGGCCCACTAGTCCTGTTGCATCTTAGTGGACACCTGACGTGGCTTTTTTTTGCAATTGTCCCTAATTCTTTCAAACTTTGGGAACCTTTGCTGCTGACAGAAGACCATAAAACAACCGTGGTCAGGAATGTGCTGAAGGTAGTTTGGATGCGAGTGATATAGTTGTAACTAACCAGCTTTTGTCTACACTGAAAGTCACCACAGCATGGAAATATAACCACTGGCATGACTAATTCTGATACTACAATAAAACAGAAGTGTTTATACCTGTGTGTTTATCACAGATGCCTACATTTTGTGTGTTTTCAGGTTGCCTTGGAGGTCAAATCAAACTTTAGCATGTAGTCTGTTTTTCTATTTCAATATTTTGACTTCTGTGACCTGTCAGAGTCGGTGACAGGCCTGAAACCAGTGATAATGACCAAGGGGTCCATGGCCCGGTGCAGGGTTGCCCCCCAACCAATTCCTAATAGAGTGCTCCAGGGATGACGTTTTTTGTAGACGGAAGTTAGCATCGCCCCTGGTTACCTCATACAAAAGCCTATGAGATTTTTCTGTTAGATTTTGGATTATTGCCGAAAATGAGCTCTGTGGCTAACAAACATTTATGATACTTACAGGTTTTGTTCAGCAAGATAATTTGCACAAATGAACACCATTTTCATGATTATTGAAGCCTAAATGCAATTGCCAGAAATCAAAAGCTAACGTTAGGCTATAAACAAACTACACTACGTAGAATAAAGAATAAGCCTTGGTAAAGACTGTTCAGCGTGGCTCAGTGTGATGACATTCTGTAGTCTCATTTAGCCACATTGTTAGCAACCACCATTTAGAGGACACATAGATGCTTCAGAGTTCATGAGTGGGGTATTTACAGACATTTTTGTTGTAGAACAGAACAGCCTGTTACTCTTGTGTTAACCACAGACTTTATTTCAGGCAGCTAACCAGAAACCCACTCAAAAAACCCATTGACTTTGAGACGATTGAACTGTGAGTGGTTAAATGCTAACTCTGTTTCTGGGTGTTTGAACCATTCCTGGTTTTTCCACTTTTAATGAATGCCAGGATGCATACAATGCACCAAAATAGCACTTGTTATTAAAAAAAATGGCAGTGGAGGATCCCCCGTCCCCTGACAGGGGTCCCTGCTAAGACCCTAATGTCCTCTACTGCTAGATATGCCCCTGTCTATGTACGCCTTACCTGTGCTGCGACTGGCCCCTGGCCTTCTGTCATTTGACAAAAGTGGCCCCCGGGCGAAGCAAAGTGTGTACCCCTCCCCTAAACCCTGACCCTACCGACTGAACAACTCACAAAAGTACAATGTACAAAAAAAACATCAGGTATAAAACAAACACAACAATACATGAGAGCTGAAACAAATTGCAATGGAGGATGAACAAATAGTAGATACAGTAAGAATGGAGATTAGAAAACAACAACAACAAAAAAATTCATTCATTTTCACTTTACATCAGGGTTTAATCAGATATTTTTTGTAATATTCTAAAAATGTGTTCATTTTTTGTTCAAAAGACCAAGGCAGTTCAACATTGAGTTAAATTCAATCAAAAAAAAAAAATATGAAAAGAGGGTTGTGAGCCTAGGAACCTCTGTTTGTGAATAAAAAATGTTCCTAATACAATCAAGAAGTTACCAATACAGTTCAAAAATGCCAAAGTAACAGATTATGTATTTTAGGGTAAAAGAGTGAGTGATATTTGCTGTACTGAAAACATGAGAACTTAAATCAGACCAAAATTTCATTGTTTTTCTGCACTGAAAATAATAAATGAATCAAGGTTTCTTCAGCATCCACATATCTGGGAATAGTAAAATTCACTGGATATATTTAATGCAACATTTGGGAATTATTATTATTAGGAATACAGTACTTATAGGGTAAAAGCCATATTGTTTTTTGCCAATTAATCTCTTCCAAATTAGAGTTCCAGTAGCCTAAAATTTCCCTCTGGGGTTGTTTTTGTTTTTATTTTGGAAAGTCTGATGTATATGTCTATTATTACATTTCTTGTCAAATATGTTGATACCATTCAAAAGTATTACAAATGGAGCTTCTGGAGTGTCTCATTCACCATAACATAAGTGACCTCTGATAATTTGTGTTAAACCAGACCTTCTTTGTGTTCCTTGTTAGCTGATGACGTCACGGCGTATGAACGTTGCCATAGTAGGCCCTATTTTAATTTTTAACGAATATCACTGGACCGTTGTGTCGGACCGTTGCCTAGAGACGGCCCGAGTACTTGTTGCCATAGGAAACCTGGTCCAGAGGAACCTGTTAGCGCCGACTCTGAGAAACCCGGTGAGTAAAATTCAGTGTTAAAGAACTTTAAATTAGATTTAAACTTGTCACGGTGTTTCAGACTTTGTAAACAGCAGCAGTAACTAATAGCCAACGAGAAGCTTCATGTTTTGAGAGTAAGCGTACACTTGCAGGCCCTGTCACTTAGGCAAGGTGAAAAGACACTGGCTGTCAGTGTTACAACTGTGTTATTCGCTCATGTGTTACCCCCTCATGTCTGTCACTTCCACATAGCCTGTGTGTTACAAGTTATTAGTGTCCGGCTAGAGACCGTCAAACGGCCCATTTAGTTAAAATGTTGCATTTAAACTCATACTGAGTAAAAACTGCATAAAGTGTGCTTGTATGGTACATGATAACACAACACTGACCTATGTCGCCAAAAAATGTTATTGTAGTACACTGTTAATGTTAGATAGTTTAACTATAGCAATAAGTGATTTTTTTAGATAGTAATGTTAACTACTGAGTAGCCACCAATTACTGCACCACATGATATAATATCTCCCTTGGAAGAACTGTAGTGCAGTATAAAATCTCACAAAATGGAAATACTCAACGTGTAGTATTAAATGTAACTAAATTTCCCTTCACTTTGTGTGTCATCCTTTTCATCAACTTTGGTTGTTTTCTGGGTCATTTAGACCGCGGAGGATATGATGATGTGTTCAGACTTTTACTGTCGAAGGCCAAAAACTTCCTTATACACTTTGAAAGTTGCATTAATATTTAGGAAATTCAGTCATTGATAATATTTGATAACAGGTCTGACTAATTCATGTTATAGTAGCTCTGTTGGACTGTAGCCATGTCTGTCTGAGTTTACTGTATCAATATGCTCCCCAAAGCATATCCCGAGCGTTTATCTGTACTTGACAAATGCAATGATTTGGTTGTTTTGAATGTTGCAGCAACAGAAGGATGTCTGCACTTCCTGCAAAGCCTGGCCTGCACCACAGTGTGTCAGAGTGGAACAGCAACAACCACCAGCTGTCTGCCACAGCACAGCATGAGCGACATGTTTCTCATGTGATCCGACAGGAGGGGAGGTCACTACGTGACAAGACCAACTGTATGGTGAGTTAATGTGGTGAGGATGCCTATCAGTCACTGTAACTCTACAGGTTGAAGAATATTCCATAACACTGTGCACACATTGCCCACACATTACTTTATATCTCCAACCTGTCTTCAGCTATTTTCTTGCACCTTTTCTCTGTAGACAAACTGGGATGAAAGCGATACTTCTGCCAGGTTGAGTGACCGGGTGTGGGATGTTTCCCGATGGAAAGAGGCGTTAGAAACCTGCGCGCAAAAAGTGGATGAAGAGATGGAGGCTCTGACCCTGGTGATTTGTTCAAAAACTTATGAAACAACTGAGAGTTTCTCTCATTTCAAGTTAATAATAGTACAAAAATAAAAGTCTTTGTAAGTGTCAGATATACTTTTATTATACCTGTGTGAGTATGTTTATTTGTTTCCCGTACAGTAAGAATCAATACTCTTGGAATTGTTCATTTAAAAATTTAAAGAGAAAGTGGCTATCACTTCAGTAAATAATGATCATACCAGTGAGCATGTAGGATTTGCTTGAATCTGACCTAGCTGACAGTGAAGTGACCTCAGCCTTGATGTGTGTTGGGACAGTCCAAAGAGCGAACTGAGCAGGCCCTGGCTGCAACTGCCGTTCCCCAGGAGGTGGGCCATGAATGCTTGACACTGAGGGACGGACGGCGAGGGTACGAGCTTGTCACCGACCCCGTCGACCAACAGCTGAAAAAAGAGAAAGAGCTGATTGAAAGAGTGCAGCATGTTCTGCAGCAGCACGTAGACAAAGCCTTTGAGCAACTGTGGTAAGAGACGCTGTGGTGTGATGCAGAAGGACTTCTTGTTTTGTTTTGTTGTTTTTTTTTTCGTCTTTGACCATCGCTTTTTGTTGTTGTCCAGTGTTTTGCAGGAGGCTCGGCACCAGCTGACTGCTGACATCCAAAACAAGATGGATGCCTTGGACATTGATATGTCCTGCCTGTCACTTACAATAAAGTCACCTCAGATCTCCCTGAAGACCAATCCAACTCGCATACCATCGGGGTAATCTTGGGATGAGGGTGTGCATGAAATAATACACAGTAGTAGTTTATTTTTTAGGAATTAACATCTGCATTTAAACTATTTAGCTAAAATTTTGGTCAACAGCTGAAAAAAATGCTGACATGTCATTGTTGTAGCTCCTCCACCCCCCAGGAGTGGGTCCAGTTCAGCCAGTATAATATGACTCGTGCCCAGGAGGCCATGCAGGTGTCCCAGCAAATGAAGGAGGACATGAGTCTCACTATAGCCCAGGTGTGTATATTGTGATGGCTATATTTGTAGTGCAAATACTACGTGGCACACAAGGTGCAGCTAAGTTACTTATAGTAGTTACTGTAGCTTAGCACTGAGGCATGTTTAATGATTAATTCATCTGTCCCTCTTTGGTTTTCTTAACCATCTGGGAATATTTTGCACCAGCCTTGCTCTCATTTCCTAAGACGTGACACATTTGCGATTAATTCTTTCTCTATTCTCTATTTCTTAGCTCCAGAATGAGTTAGACACTCAAGGCAGGGCCACAGAGTTTGCTCTCCGCAAGCGTAATCACCATGAAGAGCAGGCCCGCGATGAGCTGGAGTGGCAAATCAGACGTGTGAGTTATCTAATAGTTTAACGTAGCAGATTTTTATTGTTTGTGGACTGTGGATTTGAGATTAAGCATGCAGGGGTTGTAGCAGTTTTTTTCCAGCCATGGTCCTAGTAGGGAAGAGATTCTAGTGTTTCTGACTGTCTGTCTGTGCAGACTGAAGATGAAATGGCAGAAATGGAGAGTGACATCCATGGGCTGGACGCTGATCTGCAGGCAAAGATGGCCTTCCTGAAACTGGCTCACACCAGACTGGAGAACAGGACCAGCAGACCTGGCATGGACCTGTGCAGAGATGAGGTCAAAATAAAACTGTTGTTACTTTAATATTTTAGAAAACATCAGAAGGCTTCGTCCTGATTGATCTTTTCTTTCCTGTTTGTTTGCAGGTGCAGCATGGCCTCATTAATGAAGTCCATCAGCTGGAGGCCACAACCACGGCTCTGAAGCAGAAGCTTTCTGAGGCTCAGTGAGTCAGAGTTTTGTTTCTATGATCACCAGTTGGAGCTAATAGGGTATCCACAATTTTATTTCATCAGCCAAAAAGTTTTTTTGGACAAACAAAGATGCACATACAAGGAAGTCAGACATCGCACTTAACGTCAAAAGACACAAAATAATAAAGATAACATTCAGTCATTCAGGAAATTTACTCTGTAGTACAGTTTGTACTGCAGTTGAGATGGTGCTATTTTAAACCCAGCAAATACAGAAGAGAGTAGAGAAAAAACAGAAATGAGTTAGCTTTTTTGCTCTGCTGGTTCCCTTGTCTTAAAGTCAGTGGGGGTTTTTTAATGAGTTTTTGGTTAGATGCCTGAAAAAAGGTCTGTGGTGACACTAGGTTAAGAGGCTTTCACGTTTTGTTTCACAACATAAATTAGTCAGTAAATACCCCACTCATGAATTTTGAAGCTCTTACAAATCTCAAAAAAGGCAGTTGCTAAAAAAAGTGACCACAGTGGAACTAAACATCACCATGCCACTAATCCACCTTTACAGCTGCGTTGGCAACATGAAGTCATGCAATCATAGTGTAGTTCATTTATAGCCTAATTTTAGCTTTTTGCTTCTGGCAATTGCATTTACGCTTCAAATCATAAAAGTGGCAATAATTTGTAAGGTTATATACATTGAATTTCCCCTCAGGGGATTAATAAAGTAAATAAACTTAAACTTAACTTAAACTTATATTCCTGAAAAAAAAGGTGTAACATAAACTTTTCTTTGCCACAGAACTTATTTTCTGCAATAACCCAAAATCTAGTGGGAAAATACTATTGTGTTTTTTTTTTTAAGGAAAGGGGGATTTTAACTTCCAGGTTGGCCTACAAATAAACATCATCCCTGGAGCTCTTTGTTAAATCAATTAGAAGACAAAAGGTTAAACGTCAGAACCAGAATAGAGGATACAGGTCTATAGATTAAAAGTAAGAAATAATAGTTGTTTGTTTTGAATACAAGGAAGAGAAGAAGTCACACTCAAACTTCCCCCTCTCCTGTCCGCAGGCACTCTCTGCAGAAGATGAAGCTCCATCACGGCCACATGCTGCAGGATCTTTCCAGAAAACAGGAAGCCCTGTCTCTGGAGCAGCGAAGCATGAACACCCGTATCTGCCTCACGTCAACCTCCTTCACTGAGAAAAACCAGGTGCTGTTGGTTCCACTTACAAACTCCAGCGGCAGGAGCAATCTGCAGCTGCTGGCTCAGTAAGATGAGATGATACTATCCAGTTTCTGAGTTAAAGGGACAAAATGCAACAACATAAATTAATATTTTGCTTTGACTTTATGTTTTTAACACTGCAGCCAATGTTCTGTTTACACTTGAGACACAGTTCTGAATTAGTGATAACTCCCATCTGTGCTGAAAAACAAAACACTTTCCTGAATTTTATTTATCTATTTGAACAAGAACTGTCATCTTCCTGTGAAAATAATATTCTCCTGACCTGTTTAATCCTTATTTTGTGTGGTTCATTTGCTTTTAGTTGTGTTAAATGTATTTGAGTCTGCTTAAGTTTCACACATACACACAAGAATCCAAATTACATTTAAAATGTGGATTATATGCTTGTTTACGCTTAGCTTAATTAAACATTTAGTGATGAAGATATATTTCTGGCATCTCAGTGTATTTATGTATTTGTGGTTTTCCAGTGATTCCAGTGAAAAGCTCACGTTCATGTCTGGTAAAGTCATTACTTTTATTGGCCATTAGCTTTGTTTGGCCTCGTCATATTGTTTGATCAACCGACGCTGTTTGGCCCATGAAGACGGTGATAATGACTCATGTGTGCGCAGTTTAGATAAAATATCTGGTGAACAGACATTAAACACGGTTGTTTGGACAATAAACCCCTGTAACTCTCACTTGCCTCAGTTGTAATGTCTTCAAATGGCCATGTTTGTGTCAGTGGCTGCATTTTTACGAGTATTTAGATGAGAGACAAATATCTGTTTCTGGTCTGTGTGTTGTGTCTGAAAGTCTATAAAGGGAGATATTCTGTAGTAAATCACAGTATAATACAACTGTACACTCACCTGTAGACAAATATATGCATGCTGACTTCACCTGCTGTGCAAAAAACACTAATAGACATCATGCGTTTTTCCCTTATAATTAGTACCATATTACACAGTTCATAGATGGAAAATTTTTTAAATTCTTATTTGGGGAGACACTACAGGTGAAAACTGTTTTTTCATACACTGGTCATTTTTTAGATTTGGGCTTTTTTGCTTCCATAACATGTCTACTTTTAGACTGGTGAAAAGAAAATGTCAAAAACAGACATTTTGATTTTTATTTTAGTTCTGATTTCTGCTTTGGAAATGTATGCAAAAAGTGCATAATTAATTATTATTTGTTTGCAGTTCAAGTCGTATTGACCGGTCACATTTGAGCAGCATATTCTCATAGAATGGTTCATATGATATCCTACGAATTAGCGTCCCACTAATTATGTTACGTCTTTAACATACAGTAAGGTAATTAAAGTTATGGAGGTTAGGTTTAGGCAAGTAAAGTTACTGTGATTAGGTTAAGGAAAAGAAACGTTCCTCAAAATGACTCAAAGTTCGCTCAAAGCTCAAACGGTTCTGAACACACGACTCCAGGGGAAAGTCCCGGGGGAAAGTCTTGTCTTTGTGACTTATCCACCACCACTAACTGTACCTCGAATTTGGGTGCATTACTTTTCATAGGAAAACATATAAACAGTTTGTGAGAACAACTTTGTTAGAGAGGCCGGTAACAGTTCGTGTAGAGAGGCAGAATGCATTGGACGAAATGCAATCTCAGACCCCATCGGCTATCGTCACTTTTTATTTTATCCACCTTCATATGCAGGTATCTGTTTATAGAGATTAGCTGAAATGACCAGCGCATTGAAAAGGAAGTCTTGGCCTGGATATCTGCTTGCTTCACCTGGGGTTCTTTTCGTCAAGTTAACTTGTGCTTCCCCCTGTCCCCACGTGACCTGGAAATCATTCCCCCTCCACCATTATAGAGGATCTTCCAGTCCTTGGAGCTTGGAGCAAGGAAACACAGGTGCATCACATAGGGAAGTCTTTTATCAAGTGGCTTGACATATTAATGCCAGACATCCATATCTGGCACAGCACATTATAAGTAATGCTTTCACCTAAGACTGAGGCTATGGGCAGCTTCGGTTCCTCCATCCTTGTGATCTGCCTCACAGCTCCCTCTTATATCCTTGCCACGAGTAGCGAAGATGCAAGGAAGAGACAAAAGTGAAGGAAGCACGCATATGTTAGCATAATGAAAAGCACCCTGGATCTGCTGAAATATTGTCCATTACCTCCAGAGGCTAATCGTCCACAGACTGATAGCCAACAGGTTACGAGATTGAGCTTGGACTAATCAAATGGCCCTCATGTAGGAAATATCCATTCCAACCTCTCAAGGCCTCCTAAAAACTAAGTGGAAACAAGAAATAGGTGAATGAAAGCTATGCTAATGTCTTTCACTTGAGCTAATAAATAAGGTAAATATGTATTCATTACGGCAAGATATCAGAGGAGTAACTATGCACACATTTGTTCTGAGCAGTGGATCAATAGACTAGTCAAACAGTTACCAGACATGTTTTGAACCGCTCCATGTCTTTTTCATGGAAAAATGTTTCTTGGTATCTGTCCTCCTGCTCATAAAATGCCTCTGCAACAAACCACTTTGATTTTCTGCTCCATTTTCTTCACCAAAAGCCTTTTGCATGTTACACCCACTCCTCTCTTACACTCACTACCGCACATATACACACACTAAAGGACTCATTTTCTACCATAAAACCATGAGAAGCGCCGTCAGGCCACAAACAAGTTACTGTTTTCCCAAAGCCCAGCCCATCCTGTCTTCGCATCGACCATAAACTTCAGCACATTTACAATCTTACTACCCAGCCCATCCAGTTCACTTAACCAGCCTTGGCTTTAAGGGGATGTCCATGTGCTTCCTGACATGCTGAATTATTCTGTATCATTTCACTTAAGGGCCCAGATGCTATCTGTCTGTTGCCCTCCACTGAGAGGGCAATTAAGGCAGCCTGGTGCCTGCTAAATGCCCCTCTACTTCTGCATGAGTGGATGCGTCTCCTTATCTGCACCTCTGTCATGATGTCGTGGGCACCTCGCCCCCTTCCTGCCCACATGCATCAGCACCTTTGTGGCCACCGCCTCCTTTTTTTCTACTGTCACCTTTCCTCAGAGATGTTGGCTACGTCTCAGAGTTTGAGAGACCTGGCACTGCAGCAGCTCTGTGACCAGCCAGAAAACGGACATTACTGCCACATATGGAGAATCTGTCTTTTGAAAGATGAGGTTTATAAATGGAAGAGGCACAAGGACGACCGTGCACCTAACTATTCATCAAATCATCTGCTTGATTCGTTGAGACCTTCCTGTCAGCTTGAGTTTGATTTGTTGACAGATCATCCTTGGCATGTAAATTGGAGGCAGTACTTCCTGTGCCTCTCGGCAGTGTCCTAAACTGAAGACATGCAGGTGGCTTCCAAGGACTGGGTCGCCCTCTCTGTCTACCTCTTCACCTTCCTGTTGGGCCTTCCTGCCAACCTTCTGGTCCTGTTTGTGTACGTGCGCAAGGCCCGCAAACGTGGCGCCACACCCAATGTCGTCTATGCCCTCAACCTTTGCCTCGCCAACCTGTTCCTCGTGGCCTGGCTGCCCGTCAAGGCTTTAGAGACTTTGCTTCAGGACTGGAGGCTGCCAGCACCCGTCTGCCCCATCTACAGCCTCTTCCTCTTCTCCTCGCTTTACGGCAGCTGCCTGTTCATCACAGCCGTTACAGTGGGACGCTACCTCAGCATCGCATTCCCAATCGTGTACAAGAGATACCGCCGTGCTCGGATCTCTTGCTTCATCAGCGCTGCCTTGTGGGCCTTGGTGCTCTTTCACCTAAGTCTTGCCCTGGTGGCTGAAAGAGGGGCTAACTTTGTCTCCATTAAGGACGACACCTCAGCCTGCTATGGCTACTTTAACACCACCCAACTAGCTGTTCTGCTGCCTCTACGACTGGAGATGGCCATCACCCTGTTTCTCTTGCCTCTCATTGTGACATCCTTTTGCACGCTGCGCTGCGTTACCCTGGTGTGGCACTCAAATTTGCGCCCAATGGGGAAGAAAAGAGTCCTGACTGTAGCTCTCTCAACACTGGCTGTGTTTGTGGTATGTTACGCACCCTACAATGCCTCGCACATTGTGGGGTTTGTGTTGAAGGAAAATGTTGAGTGGAGGACGTACGCCATGCTAACGAGCTCCTGTAATGTTTTCCTGGAGCCTGTGGTAATGCTGATGCTTTTGCCAGCAGTGTCGAGGGGACTTGTGGGAAGAATCTGTGGACGGCAAAGCCATTTCAGCCGGATTGAAGGGTGTCGGCATCGATGTAACAGCACTATCGGTGTTGCAAATGTCAGGGTTCCTACAATGACTGAGAAGAGCCAGGCTGGGGCGGAGGTGACGAAAGTAAGTCAGGAGTGATGTCACAGAGGGTGGAGACTTCAGGGATTCTGGGAAAAATAATGACAAATCCAAAAGGGGAAACAGGCTAAAAACATTAATCCTCCTCTCAAAGGAAGCAGCAAGTGATCCAGACAATGTTCATGTGTCTGTCATTTTAAGGCAGAATGACTTAATCAAGGCTACATCACATCTGTCTTTAGGTTCCCTCTTTTTCCCCTCAGATCAAATGTTTCCAAAGAAAAATTTGATGATAAAAGCTGTTTTGCAAGTCTGACCACGAATGTGGAGTTTTGATTCATCCCATGTTATGTCAGTATTTTCTCCGATGATAAAAAATGACTCATAGTAGACTTTTTCCTGTGAGTGTTTCACTCACTGGAAATGACCTAACTGAACTATTCGCAGAGGAAACTGCACGTCTTCTTTGAAATGGGAGAATTGTTCTTTTTCCAGCAAGTCTTAGTTCAAACCAGTCAGTGGAAACCATAGCTGAACTTTGCAGGTGATTAGTTGGGTGACAAATGGCTCCATCTGGTGTCTGTGAGTTAATGCTCCGAGCTATAACAAGGGAATCACTTAAACACACATAATGTTCTCTTTTGGAAAGTTGTTTCCATAGGTTTTTTTTTTTCCTCCAAAAAGACTGGATAGAAGCCAAGCTGATGCGTGAGGAGACCTTTCCTGCTGTTGATATTTCAATTCCTCGAACACAGGTGGAAAGAATGTCATTAATTATGTCTGAGCTGTGTTTCAGTTGCACGGCTTACTGGCAAACCTAAATGGAGCAGATTGTGAGTGTTAGTGGTTACACCTGTGCTTCCTCTGTTGTGAGGAGTACAAACATGAGGACATAAAGGCTAATCAACAATTTGATGTTCTGAATTAACTACACATTTGAATGAATATCTGTTTGTGAATTAATTGATCGGTTTCTGAACTTATTCATTCAGATTTAAGTCTGTTTATTTGTAAACTGTCTTTCAAAATAAAGTATAATGTTTACAAGTGTATTGTGTAAGTTGTCTGTGGTCTCTGAGGAATAAAGAAAAATATGCTTTTAATGAACATTTCTAACTTCCTGTTGGCTACAACACCCACATGCATTCAGCTCCATAAAATGAAGTCAGAGAAACCACAAATAAAAGAGTCCGTTTTGAAAATAAAAACTAGAACACATTTAAGTAAATAGATTAAGTTAAATACTTCTCAGCAAGGTATCAGCAATGTTCAAATTATAATATTTAAGTATGTACAAGCTGAACTAGAATTACCGCCTTGCAGTTGTATGCCTCTGCCAACCAATCAAGCTGCAGTTTACATCCATGTTTGTCCGGGCTCATATATGTTGTGAAGACTTTAAAGGAGTTTAATCAAAGGTATGAAGTGTATTTTTTTGGCAGAACTTATGCTTCACACACATTTACCACCCAGCAGCACAGAGGACCTATACATTCAGCACAGTTTCATGGTGGAGACCAAAGATTAGAATCACCAATTCAGTATATGACCCAATGTCTCCCCTTCTTAGTTATGATGTTGAATAATGATCAGAAAAAACATATGATGTCACAGTGATGTTGATCTTTGACCCCTGGATATGACATTATTTTATCATTTTATCCCGTTAGACATTTGTGTGAAATTTAGTCATAATTAACTTATGAATTCTTGAGTTATGGCCAAAAACATGTTTTGTGAGGTCACAGTGACCTTGACCTTTGACATTCAACCACAAAATTCAATTTTTTTTTTTCCTGAGTCCAAGTGAATGCTTGTGCCAAATTTCAAGAAATTTCTGTCAGGTGTTCCTGAGATACCGCCTCCATGACAATGGGACAGATGTACGTACTTACCGTCTCAAGTGTGTCTTATCGAGGAATGTCTGCCATATTTTCTCAAATGTCTGCTATTTTCTGTATGAAATTATATTAGTGGGGTGCTTCGGCAGCTCACCTGGTAGAACAAGCGCCCAGGTGTGAGGAAGCACCAACTCCCTCACTAACTATTTGATAAACCCCTTTTTGTTAGGGAAGGTGGACAGACTCTCACACTCAATTTCCTTTGTTTTCTTTATTAAATGCATGGTTTCAATATTACGTGAGAAACTCAAACAACTGTACTAAGCATTACAATCTTTAGACGCAAGTTTTTAGCTTAGACTTTCTTTTGTTTCATTTTGTTTTGGAGACTAAAAATAAAAGTCTACCTAATTTTTTTTTAGCATAACTCCCTGCCTGTGTGATGCTTTTTTGTCCTCAAGTCTCATCATGCTTCCCTGCACCTCACCTTGCAACACCAGGGTAGGCCTACAGTAGGCTTAGTTCTTAGCAGCAGCTCAGGTTTAAGGTCCAGCTTGTGGCCATTTTCTGCATGCCTTCTCCTCTTTCTCTCTCTCCCTCAGTTCATGTTCATCTGTCCTATCGAATACGGCAAAAAAATAATCAAATAGATAAAATTATATTGTAAAAAAGTGTGAGAATTTAATATACCCAATATGTGCACAAATAGAGGTGCACATGCCTTACTAGTAAAGAGTATTAAACATGCAACCTTCTACTAACCGATAAAAAAGAAACCATCACATACATAAAATCAATGCTCAGTGGACATTAAAACCTTTTTTCCCAACTAATACACATTGTTCTTAGATATCAGCTGCTGTTAATGAAGATTCCAGGACTGAAAACATTTGTTCAACAGAGACAAACACACTGAATCCTGGTCTTCATCCCGTCCTACTGTATGTGCAAACCTCACATGAACCCCATGATAAACATGTCATGTCACAACCCCGTCTCCTGGGAATAACATTTGTTTACTAAATTGCATTCATACTTACATTGTAGTGACAACGTAATGGCTGGCTGCCAGGTCTTAATGTGCCTTAATGTTCAACCTCAGATCAGCCATGGATCATTTGGCACCATGCAGCAGAGTAATTAGGTTTGTTGTTGAGAATGTTGTCGGCAGACGGATGGTAGCTATAATATGGGGGCTGGTGGGAGCGGCTGTGATACAAACTGACAGTCAAGCCGTGCTGGCTGCAGACCAGAGCCATCTGTTCCCTCGGGGCAGTTTGATTCTCAGTGAACCAACACCAACCAACACCAGTCTGCTGCCAGGACTAGACAACATGTCACTGATAGTAACTGATAACAAGTGTGCCTGCCCTCAGTCTGACTTCTGCTTCTGTTAGTTAAGTTAATCTGATGTGACTTAGGTGTATTAGTGTTCAATTAATTAATAAAATTGCCAAAACTTTCAAGGACAAGTTTAATTCCATTTAAGCATCTACTCTTTGTAAGGTTTGTAAACATTTAGCATAGTTACAGCTTCCTTGATTATTTAAAATTGTATTTTTCTTTTGTTTAATTTTTAGGTAAGCCCATTTCTACCAGCGTGATTTTAAAAAAAAATAAAATTTAAAAATTGTAAGTGATTATAGTAAGAAAATTTCTCAAAATCATGACTTAGTATCTAAAAAATAATGAGAAACATTCTCAAAATGATTAATAAAAAATAAATATTACATTCTCAGATAAAGTCTCTGTATACTGTAATGTAACATTTGACCTTCTCACTGCCACCTCAAAGCCTGTCACACACACAAAAAAGTTATTGCGGCACATTTACACCTACATCACATCAAGCTTTTGGGCGGTTGCTGGGAGATGATGTTTGGAGAGTGAGGCGAACATAGATTGTGTCCAGCAGCTTATTAAATTTCCCCCTATTGAGGGCGAGATGGAGGGTATTCAGTCGGGCATGCATATTAAGTGCAGCCTTTTGATCCGATCAAACAGTCTGCTTCCGGGAGGCGAAGCATGCAGTGCTGCAGCCTCACCCAGGACAGCTGCACGGTGATGGAGAGTGTGATAATTCAGAATTTACAGAGGTGAGTTAGTCACACTTCTTATAAGTCACTAATGAAGGCTGTATATCTATTCTATATTTTTTTTTTATTTGTTTTTTAAATGATGTGGGACTTTTTTCAGAGCCTGGTGCTGGATAAATGGAGAGATAAATGCTGGTATTCAGAGCTTTGATTTTTTTTTTTTTTTTTTTTACATTAGTGTAATTTAAAGGATTCTCTTTGTATCCAAAGTTCATTTTCTTCCTCTGCTTCATAGACTTTTCAACAGTGAGCCACACCATTATACTGGGGATTACGACCGATATGATCCTTTATTACAATTATGTGGGCATTGTAAGCCGGCAGTTTTAGGACATTATTTATGTATATATCCTGCTTCCTCAGAAGGAATAAATGGCCATTGGGTTTAGAGCCACAGACAGGGTAGAGATGTTGCAAAGTACTCAAAGACGGTCAACCACTGTTGGTTTTTGTCTTTACATTGGATTTATTCACAGTAACAAAAATACAGAATAACCCTTATTCTTTATTTGTGTTGATTTCTGTGCTCTCTGCTTCATGAATTTGTATCCATCAGTTCAAATCCATGAATTTTTTTTTAAGAGTATGTGAAGGTTTTAAGAAGATAATTTTGATCTTAAGTCTGGTTTGTGAGATATTTGAAGCAATTTTACTGGCAATAGTTGCAAATTAATGAAAGACTCAATTTGAGTAGTTAATCTGTCATTTATCATAATATGTTGAAGCATTTCAGAAATTTATTTCTGTCGTTATTCTTTTAATTTCCGAAAAAGGATAAGAAATGTCTCTTTAGACTTAAAATCTGTGTTGATGTAGGCTTCCTTAAAGGGACCCTTCACCCTAAAATCAAAAATCCATAGTTTTCCTCTTACCTGTCGTGCTGTTTATCAGTCCACATTGTTTTGGTGTGATTTGCTTAGTGTTGCAGATATCAGCTTTAGAGATGTCTCTGTTATCTCCAGTATAATGGAACTAGATGGCACTCAGCTTGTGGTGCTCTAAGTGCCAAAAAAATACATTTAAAAAACTCAACAGCAATGTCTCTTTCCAGAAATCATGACCCAATTACTCAAGATAATCTACAGTCCTTGTTGTGAGCAGTTTCATGTAGGAACTATTTACAAAACTACTACTACTTTGAGCACCACAAACCAAGTGCCATCTAGTTCCCTTATTGGAGAGAAGGCAGACGGTTCTATGGCTGCAGTGTTGCCAACATAGCAACTTTGACGCTATATTTAGCAAGTTTTCAGACCCCTCTAACTACTCTTTTTCAAAAAAGCGACTAGCAACAAATCTAGTGATTATTTCTGG